GATGTCGTTGATGAACGACAAGAGCCTGATTCTTTGGTATGGAAGGACGATGACAAAATAGTTAATGAACTGAAGAAGAAGATGGAGAAGCTCAAGGACCAGTCACGAAACTCCCTAAGAGATCAAGGTTTCCAAGCAGATGAAATTGCTTTTGAGGAATACCTCAACATGAGATACCGTGGTACTGAGTCAGCTCTCATGATTGTCAGACCGACACCTGAGGAGGCCAAGGAGCATTTCGATGGAAAAGAATGGGATTTTGGCCAAGCTTTCGTGAAGCAGCATCGTTATGAATTTGGTTTTACGCTTGACGAGCGAGACATCATTGTTGATGATGTCCGTGTTCGTGGTATCGGCAAGAGTTTCCGACACAAAGATGATACTGTTGACAAGCAACTCAAGGAATTGAAGCAGCAGAAGGTTTCCGACAAGAAGAAGCTTGACAGCCAACAGGTATATTTTGAGGGCAGCAGGAAGGAAACTCCCATATTCAAGCTTGAAGATCTAGATACTGGCGATTCTATCCCTGGGCCAGCCATGCTTGCTGATGGTACTCAAACCATCGTCGTAACACCAAAAGCAACTGCAATCATTCTCAAGACTCATGTAGTCATTAATCTGGAGAAGGAGGGAACAAAGTCTGAGTAAGTTTTGTGTTGATCACAAGTCTCTTGTCATTCTAATGGGCCTAGGTCTGCCAAGTCATCTGAGGATCGCGAGGTTGATCCCATCATGCTCAGCATTTTTGGTCATCGATTTATGGCAATTGCTGAGCAGATGGGACGCGCCTTACAAAAGACGAGTGTTAGCACAAATGTCAAAGAGAGACTTGACTTCTCGTGTGCTATTTTCGATGCTACAGGTGGCCTTGTAGCCAACGCTCCTCATCTACCTGTCCATCTTGGTTCAATGTCTACCTGTGTACGACGCCAGGCTGAGATTTGGAAAGGGAAACTGGAGAAGGGCGATGTCATAATCTCTAACCACCCTTCATATGGAGGAACTCATCTTCCGGATGTGACGTTATTGATGCCAGCTTTTGATGAGAAGGGAGAAAACATCCTCTTCTACGCTGCGTCTCGAGCTCATCATGCTGATATTGGTGGCATTAGCGCTGGAAGCATGCCACCTCACTCCCGAGAGCTTTACCAAGAGGGCGCCTCAATCAGAAGTGAGAAGCTTGTGAGTGGTGGCAAGTTCAACGAGAAACGAGTTGTTGAGTTGTTCTACGAAGAACCTGCCAAGTACCCAGGCTGCAGTGGAACACGCTGTCTGGCTGACAACATCAACGACTTGAGAGCTCAAGTCTCGGCCAATCAAAAGGGAATATCACTAATTGAGACTCTGATCGCAGAGTATGGCGAGGAGACAGTGCAGTTCTATATGGTCCATATCCAGAACAATGCCGAGCAGTGTGTGCGCCGACTACTCAAAGATGTTTACAAGCGATTCGAAGGCAAGGACCTCTCGGCAGTTGACTTTATGGACGATGGTTCTCCCATTCGGTTGAAAATTCGCATTGACCCAGAAAAGGGTGAAGCGGAATTTGATTTCTCAGGTACTGGCCCCGAAGTTTACGGAAACATCAACGCACCTCAAGCTATTACGTTCAGTGCTATCATTTACTGTTTGAGATGCCTGATTGCCGAAGACATCCCACTTAATCAAGGATGCCTAAAGCCGATTCATGTCAAGATCCCTCCCAAGTCCATTCTGTCGCCGTCGCCAGGGGCTGCAGTTGTTGGAGGCAATGTCCTTACTAGTCAGCGCATTACAGATGTTATCTTCAAAGCATTCCAGGCTTGTGCTGCCAGTCAGGGGTGCTGTAATAACTTGACTTTCGGATTTGGCGGGAACCAAGACGGCACCGAAGCTGTCAAGGGTTTCGGATACTACGAGACGATTGCTGGCGGAAGCGGTGCGGGTTCTGACTGGGAGGGGACCAGTGGTGTTCACTGTCATATGACAAACACTCGAATCACAGATTCAGAGATTTTTGAACGCCGTTATCCTGTACTTCTCCATGAGTTCTCTATTCGCTCCGGTTCAGGAGGGCGAGGCCAACATCGCGGTGGTGACGGCGTCATCCGTGACATTGAGTTCCGAATTCCCCTTCAGGTGTCCATCCTCAGTGAGCGTCGCGTCTACCGCCCGTATGGGCTGAATGGTGGCGGCGACGGAGAATGTGGTCTGAACCTGTGGGTGCGCAAGGTTGAAAAGGCCAACTGGGAGACTTCTCTGAAACAGTTTCACACAAAAGAGGATGCAGGAGAGGTTGAATACGAGGAGAGACGTATCAACATGGGGGCTAAAAACACAGCTGCTATGAAGGCCGGAGATCGTATCATTATCTGCACACCTGGAGGAGGTGCATGGGGAGCTGAGGGGTCTGAGAGTGTGGCTAGGAAGAAGATTGACCATACTGAGGGCTGGAGGAAAGGTAGTGGTAGCACAAGGGATGAGACTGCACTCCAGGCTTAGAGAGGGTGAAATGTGATATTGTTCGGTTGCCTAACATTGGGCTGAACCTGAATTGGTTCGGGATGAGGCTGAAAGAACCGAAGAGTCGAAGATTATGAAACAAAAAATTTCTGTCCGCGAGTGTCAAAGGCCGTCGTAAGGTTTGGTGGAAGTCCAAGAGAGCTTTGAAAGCCCGGTTTCATAATGCTTTGAAACTCAGCTTGTGTAGCCTGGAGATGTCTCATTTGAAGCCACCAAATAGAGGCAGGTGACACAATGGTGCTATCGTGAAATCCATGCATGTGTCACCGTGGAACTTTAACCTGAAGGATAAGACATTCACATCTCGTCCTCTACCGTGATGTCTCATCGCGTCATTGAGATAACGCTGGTCACATTTGTGAGTGTTAAAAAGCTACCGACGAGTCTTGTTGGCAGCTCCGTAACCACGACAAGGCATCCACAGTACTGGTATGCAGCCCAACTAACATATGATTGGGAGATATAGGTGCCCAGGCATTATGATCGTTTGCATGGATCCATGGCAGTGTCCATCTTTTCTAAGTTGGGTGTTTCACTGAGAATTTCAGACAGTTCGGGCCTTGCCTAGATGGGACATGCAAGAAAATATACCTGTATTTTCTAATTTGAAGTTTCAAGCCTACTATTGGTACATTAGTAGGTACGGTACGTGGAACTTCTGAAAGGCGACAAGATGAGGGATAATCATGCTGCGACTTGATGCATCGATCACTAGGGAAACTTTGCCTTAGCTCCCAATTTTCGCAGAGAAAACAAGGAGGTTTCTTCTGAGAGAGATTGAATCGGTGAATTGGCTCCCTCTGCAGAGAGGTGCTTGAAAATTCTGTGTTGCATCGCAGCTTACAACCTCCAACACAAACAATCACACACGCGCACACACACTTGCATACAACCAATCTTAATCACATATTAACCCCGATAGACTGGTTCAATAACAGCCGTTTCCGATCAGTTCCCCCCTGATCGCCAAAAAACTACACCATAACTGTACTGCTTCTCGAAAATGGCTATGCAAGTCACCGGTGCCACACGGTAAGAAGGACGTTAGAATAAGACTTGTCTCCCACCGAAACAATATCTACAACATCCAATGAATAAGTCCAATTGCTCGCCACTCCTATCAACCCCAGTCAGCCCTACGGGGAATAGACATGGATAATGGGGGCTGCTGCATTAGCTCAACCACTGATGGGCCAGGGTCTTGGCCCCCAATCTCCATATGGGCCTTGGAGTTGTTGATCTACACTTGATACTTTTGCCCCCGAGAACCAGAGCCTCGTTGCGATCTCACCCTAGAACAGGCTACAGTGTCTTCTGCCTTGCTAGCATCAGTGTAGCCTATCTTTAAGCCAATGACGGCTTGTCCGATGCAATGCGGATGGGGCGGGCGTTGAACTACATCTGCATACCACGAACCATGAATTGCCTCTTCTTTAACTTTACAAGGCATTCTGTATGCATGTGAGGCGTTTAACCTACGAGCCAGAGTTATTGTCTCATGCTTAAACACCCTGGTTTCCATAAGTCCAGGTTAAAGATTGGTTGATCGACTTCAACCATGACCACGACTGACGCAGAGTTATGCATTTCCTTTGTGGCGGAAGCATAGAACAAGGATCAAAGAGGAAAAATCGATCAGGTGGTTGGTTATTGACGACTTGTCAGTTTGAGGGTCTGAGAATGTCATGATTTGACATCGAGTTCTCAAGAACGAGACATCCATATCCACCGTGAACCTCAACACAGCCATGCTACATCAACCAAACGGATTGATTCTCGTAAGGCTAACAAGGCAACCCGCAAGTTGCATGTGACCACGATAAGTCTTGTGCTTCAATGTGTACTGCCTTTGTACCCTATAGCTATCGACCAGACAAATGCCGTGTAAGGTCTCTTGTCACTTGTTGTAGCTTAATCTGACCAATCCGAGACCGAGTGGTTCAAGTTTGCTCACAACTTCCTGGCCCCTTGAGCTTCTTAGGCATCCTTATTCACAGACCCGTGACTTCACATGGCACTTCAGCACCATTCAGGACCTATTACTTGAAGCAGGAACTCAGGTGCACCCCACAATTGTGACGATAAGGAGGTTGATGATACCGGTCCAAAGCTAAACTGTGTGAGTCTACGTGCAGACATTCGTCCGTTACTAACTCCACGGTAACTTATCACGAGCCAGTCGAGGCTCTTGGACTCAGACTCCCAATGTTTTATTGCCCTGCTTCTGCCTGTAACTGAGGCCTCTCCGATGAGCCTTGTTCACTAAGTTGGTCATGCAATGCTTGTTGCCGTACTCAGCCATGCGTTTGTCTAGACTTGAGGCTCAACTGTGCCCCCAATATTTTGAACTACAGGATTCAGACAAGAAGCTATTTAGAGGACGCTAATTTCCCAAAAGTTCAACCTCAGTCATCCCTTCTTTAGCTCTTTCCCGACTATCTTGGCATCTGTACGCTGTCCTGAAACACTTTACTGAAACTACGTGTAATACTTTCACCATGATGCGAATAGCTATAGCTGGGGGCTCTGGCTTTGGATATCTCCTGGCAAGCCATCTCTCTAGAGCAGCAAACGCTTATCAAGTTGTTGTTCTCTCACGTTCTGTAAGTGTTACTCCTATATATATGATGTTTCTAACAACACAGTCACGTCCCGAATATGCAGCACTTGATGTTCAAGTCATGGTTGTTGACTACAATGACGAGAATAGCCTAGCATACGCACTTCATGGGGTTAATCTTGTCATCTGCACCTTTTCAGGAGGTGAACAGATCAATCTGATCACTGCAGCTGTCCAAAGCGGTGTACAATTCTTTGTCCCGTCCGAGTTCGAAGGAAGTCTCGAAAAACGACCCGAAAACGATCAACTCGACCCCTATTTATACTCATCCCAAGCGAGACAGCATCTCAGACGCTGTGCAAGATCATCCCAGATGAAGTGGACCGTCTTCTCCTGCGGCATCTTCATGGAGAGATTCCTCCTTCAGGGGCTCGGAAGTTTGGCCATTGGCTATGGTTCAAACTTGGCCAACGTGGGATCTTACGTTCTTGACATGAGTACTTATACTGCAGAGTGCGTGGAGAAGAACCCTCGAGGGCATACTGTCCGTGTCTGCATGACATCTGTTTATGATGTTGTCCAATTCATCGTTGCTGCCATTGATTTGGGACCTGAAAATTGGCCTCGCGAGTTTACGATGAGGGGAGACCGTCTGTCACTTCGTGGCATTGTTGGTCAATGCTCAAGAACCCTGAACGGTAAGTTAACAGCATAAGTACGGATGGATCATGCTAACTCATTCAGCGGCCTTTTCTCTTTCTCAATGGCAAGCTACAGATATTGCAGGACTTGTGAGTGGTTTTTATCAACAGGGAGACAACGTCAAAGTTGCCTTTTATCAACAGCTCCAAGCTACTGTTGACGGGCGTTACGACTTTGGCCATGCATCGTTGAATGACCTCGTCAATGTGCAGCCGAGAAGCTTTCGCCAGTGGCTGAGTGAACAGTTTACAGGATAAATCCACTATGGAGGTTTATTCTGGCTTCTTTGGTTATGTGTGTTAGTATTACAATCTTTGACTATGTTGTGTCGACGGATGTTCACTTTATTTAGTTTGCAGCTGTGCTGTGTGTTGGTACTGGTAGCAACAAGGCAACAAATTAGCGGCTGGTATCGCGGTCTTTTATATTTTGTTATTTATCTAGGTAACGAAAAGAACCAAACTCCGCTTTTCACTCTTTATTGCAGTTGCTCATAGAACCCTCTGTGGTCTTTAGTCTTCGTTGTTACAGGTCCTTTTTGGAAATACACCGTGTGAAAGAAGTATCAACTCAAAGGAACAGCAGATTTGACATTGACAGATCATGTACGACAAGCGGCCACACTTTAAAGAAACTTAGCAAGTACTTGGACGCTTTGCATGAATTGTTGAAACAAATTTGTCTCTATGACTTGATACTGATACCATGATAAGTTCAGAGTAATCCTGGCCGAACTATGATGAATGACTTCATGATTTTCGACAATCTTTACCTTAATTACTAAACCTGAATCCTATGAAGTAGGCTTGTATTTCCCGTGACAAACTCCGCCTTCTTCCAAGAATACGACCTTGTAGGTAGTCTCAAGGATCGACGCCAGGCCCAATAATAGACTCATGTGGAGGTTGGAAAGCCAAACCTCGGGACAATATATGATCCCAGTTAAGAATGCGGAGAAAACATGCATGGTTGTGAGAGGAATTCCACCAACGATCATGGTTCACATTCCGTTTCTGACTCTTAGTTCCGCGTTGGAAACACCAGAAATCCATGTTGACGGAAATTCTTCCGCACGACCTACCCAAAATGGCGGAATACTGGCTCGAGTTGGGGGTCTGACCCCACTGGAGGTCCCCGATGAGATATAGTCGATGGCTTGTGATTGAATGTCCTGACAAGTGTTAGCAGTGCAGACCAACAGTGATAATAAAGCAACCTCGGGCGGGATCCAACATGTTCGAATTTCTCTTCTCTTACCTCAGATTCAGTCATGGAGGCTTCAGGCGCAGATAAAGGCTTCTTTCAGAAGCCTCCTGTTCTAAACAACCAGTTTCATGACGACGTGACCTTTCAGAGATGCTTCAAGCGTGAGTTTAATGTCAATTGCTATTATTCAGAGCGCTGTGCTTACTTGTCTGCACAGTGTTTCTTCCACGACATATCGCCCATCAAGTCCAAGCTGAACTGGCTTCACTTGGAGATGACGTCCTCTCCGACCAAGTTTTTGCCTGGATCACGGATGCTGAACATAACAAACCCTTCCTTAAAGGATCAGGCCGTGATGTGTTCGGCCAGTGGAAGGGTGATTTAGTCACTGGTGAAGGGTGGCGTGGTCTCCAGAATTTTGGTCTGTCTAGAGGGTAAGACACATACGCAGTAGACTGACCAGCTGTTAACATGATATAGATTTGTCGCCGCTGGATATGATACTCCATATGGTGCATTTGCACGCGCATATCAGTTCATGCGCATACAACTTTGGACGCCATCGTGTGCCAACGTCGGTTGTCCTTCCGCTATGCAGGATGGCGCTGCTCGACTTCTACAGACACACCTTAGTAGCCCAGAACTTATTGCGAAACTCACAGATGAGCAAAAGAAAGTATTTGAGAACGCTTTCAATCATCTGATCTCGCGCAACCCACAGCATGCATGGACCAGTGGCCAGTGGATGACTGAGCGAACAGGGGGCAGTGATGTGTCGTTGACCGAAACAACAGCAGTACACAAGCCAACTTCTGAGATTCAACTCGCCTCAAAAGATGAATACATCCCATTGGGACCATGGAGTATCAACGGCTTCAAGTGGTTCTCGTCGGCGACGGACTCAAGGATGACTGTCCTCCTTGCTCGAACATCTAAAGGCGGACTTTCAACCTTTATGGCCCCTATGTACAAACACGATGCGAATGCTACCACAGCTACCGGAATTCCGAAAAGCAACGGAGAGCAACTTAATGGAGTTCGCATCCAACGTTTAAAGAACAAATCAGGCACACAGAGTCTCCCAACAGCTGAACTAGTTCTCCAGGATATGCGGGCATGGCTTTTAGGTCAAGAAGGCCGAGGCATCCAAGAAATCGCAACAATTTTGACCTTGACTCGAGTTCACTCTTCAGTTGCTGCTGTGGGTTATTTAGGCAGAGGATTTGCCATTGCAAGAGCGTATGCTCAAGTTCGAGAGGTTGGTGGCGGAAAGGGAACTCGAATGAAGCTCACAGAGAGTTCATTACATATGAGGACCCTTTCAAAGATATCTTCCGAGTATCGTGGCCTCATGCTTCTTACCATATTTACGTCGTATGTCCTCGGCGTTTCGGAGCACGACATAGTGTCAGACGCAAGTCTTTCACCTGCGCTAGAGGCGCTGACACCTTCTGCACAACATGCTGCGCCATTGATTCGGGTTCTTACTCAGCTCACAAAAGCTTACGTTTGCAAAGCATCTGTACAGCTACTTTTCTCTTGCATGGAGGCGCTCGGTGGTGTTGGGTACCTTGCCAATGAAGAACAAGAGTACCTCAATATCGCCCGTCTTCATCGCGATTGTGCTGTACTGCCTATCTGGGAGGGCACAACGGACGTTTTGAGCACTGACTTCTTAAGGGCTATTAAGCATCCTAAGGCTGGCCAGGATACTCTGGACGCCCTCGGAGACTCTATCAAGAAAGGTATGGCGTTCCAAGGAAAGGTATGTTGGCCTGAAGGCTGGAATCCTTTGGATGTTTGGAAGAGCTTGAGGCAGCGTATTGAACGAGAGTCCTTGGCAGACTTAATGGGAGATGCTAGGGAGGTTCTCTGGGCCGTGGCAGATTTACTCGTATCTGTTCTGCTTTATGTTGACGCTGGTAGTGATGGTGATCAAGTGTCACTGGACATTTTCCATCGATTCTTGGAAGGGAAGAATGTCGCTAGGAAGCGAGAAAAGGTCTCAGCACAAGAACAGCTTGCGAAGGACTTCGCAGTTGTGTATGGAGGCGCCGGGAACGAGATCTTTGCCAAGCTTTGACATCACCATTGGTATTGATTCATGATTGTATCACTTTACTCGTCTCTGCGAATCTGGGGCCAGCATTGTCCATGTTACATATAAATTGAAAGCTCACGAGAAACCGAGAATATTGAACTAATCGTAAACAATGAGAATTATGTAGTTGTGTGCCTGTCCCTCATCAACCCTTGAAACTCTTGCATGTGCCCTTAAAATTCTTCGCCTTCAGTGTAACCCTCTTACACGTCGTAGCATCAGTGTGATTGTCTCCATATAGAACAGTACCCTTGGCACTTGTAGAAGTTTTTGAGCAGGAGTTGAATGTGCTTCCTCCATCGTGCTGAAGAAGCGTATTGCTGCCACTCTTCTTTAACGTCCATGATTGGAAACCAGGTGTTGGATCGACACATTTGAGAGCACCGCTTGGGCTGAGAAAGCAAGCGTTGAAGGCGTTATCTCGAAGAATGTCTTGCGAGTTGGACAGATCGATACAGTAGAAGCCGTTGGTTTTGCCGGCATTGAGCAGCAAGTTGCCGTCGCTGTTTTGTTGAACCGTAGCACCAGTTGCCACATCTTGTAACGTGAAGCAGCAATAACCATCGAAGACAGTATCACGAGGGAGGACTGCAGCTGTGGCCATGGTGCACAAGAGAGTGACCAGAGTGAAAGACTTCATCTTGACGAGGGTATGGATGTTGTGAGTAGTGTAGATTAAGTATAGTATGAACTCGTAGGATTATTGAGTCCAGCTCAAGTGTTGAAGATAGTAATAGAGAACTCAAACATCGTAGACATCACAAGAATTCCCTCACATTTTATAATTCTGGAGACCCCATTGTCCCTCGCCCATCAGGCTCGGATTCATTAGGATCAGCAGAAATAAATCCATTCAAAGGCATCCAACCGAATGTGAGAATGCACGTTGGTCGAAGTATTGAGTCAGAAAGGAAGCCACTTGGCTCACGATGGTCAGCAGAAAGTCACATTTATTGTGAAAAGTCGGTCTCTAAAGCTGTGATGTCCCGTGCAGGTGATTCCAAGTGATGGACGTGACGATTTCCATTGGGAGTCCCGGGGTTTCGCGCTATAGGACGAACAAAACTAGGGCCACTCTCAGGAGCGAATGGCTTGTCAGGAACAGCCGCGAACTAATTAGTAGAGTGGCATTCGACGTGATTGCTGGTGCTATCCCGTTCATGCTCCCACATGCAAGGCACAAGGTGGGTGACAGACCAGGGGTATTCTTCTTCACCGCAGGATAGAAAGCGGGGATAGCTTCATTTCAGGCGTCCAGCCACAGACTGCCGGGGAGAATATCTTGAGGAGAAGATTGGTTACAGGGAGTCAAATGTGACGATGCATGATCCTGGAGGTGATAAGGTGCGTCTACTGTGAGACTAGCTCAGCCAATCAGAGGCTGCGATGCGGTTAATCACGCTGCGGGTGTAACGACTGTACAGTCACGTGAAACAAGATGTCGGTTATCGGCGAGGGCCTGTGGTGTATCACCGTTTGTTACGCTCAACTCAAAGTGTAACCGTTTGCGCCTTTACGTCACAACCTTAACTCTACGTTCAACGCTTCACTTTACCTTCAACGGTGTATTCTTCTACATTGATGTGCCGTATTCTTCATCAAATCATGCCTCACCACATCTGACGTGTTCTTGTTTTGATCCTTCGTTATCATAAGCAGCTCATCTGACTTCAGCGATCCTCTGCTTAGCACGCTTCCTCGACCTGCCTAATCCACCTACGGTATCCTACCGTTTCACCGCTCTCAGACGATTTCTAGCTCTAACTTGTTCATAAATCTCAACCGAACACTTGAGAGCAACTACTTCTCCGAAGCCACCAAGGAATCATGGCGGACGAACATACCATGTCTAACGAAGAGTGGGAGGAAGTCTCTCAAGACATCCCCTCACTCTCGGACCCCTTCCTTCAGCAATATCTCACAGGCCGAGCAAACCTCATGAGTCAAGAACAAAAGGCTCGCACGGATGCTTCGTTCAGATCTTCTCTTTCACCTATTGCCAAGCGCGCGAGTGACATTGTCGACCGCATCCGCGACCAGGAGAATGATTCCATCTGGACCCCTCAAGTTGAGGAAGAGCTCGCTCAAGCAGGAAACGAGTGCATCTTTCCAGGAATGATGTTCATGCTTGCCAAAGACCGCATGGAGAAGACAAATCTCTGGAAGATCGTTCGCCGCATGCCAAAAGGTGCGCTGCTTCACGCTCACATGGATGCTATGGTCAACTTTGACTTTCTCTTCGATGAGCTTCTGAAAATGCCAGGAATGCATATGTGCAGCGATCAGCCTCTCAACACTGAAGAATCTCGAGAGGATGCAGTTCCTAGCTTCCGATATAGAACCAAGGCGGACACTGATGGATCTATTTGGGAAGAGAGCTACAAGCCTGATACCTTTGTGTCACTTCCAAAGGCGGCAGATGAGTTTCCTCATGGTGGAAGGCCCGGCTTTCTCAAGTGGCTCAAAGGCCGATGCACTCTCTCCGTCACAGACAGCCATGAGCAACACCATGGAGTTGATGCCATCTGGGTCAAGTTTGGAAAGTGTTTCCTTGTGTGCGCCACCATCATTCACTATGAACCTATGTTCCGGATCTTCCTCCGCGAGCTCATGAAGAACCTCAAGGATGATGGTGTCAACTGGGCTGAACTTCGGTAAGTCATAAGCCAGCAATTTCTGATCTTCTTCTAACAGCCATAGATTCACTTGGCCACTTAACTATTGCCGTGATAAGCAAGAGGAGCCCGAGAAAGACTACATTCACATGTTTGAGGTTCTGCGCGAAGAAATCGACAACTTCAAGAAATCTCCCGAGGGCAAGGGTTTCTGGGGCCTCACCACCATTTGGACCTGCCTACGAAGCTGGCCCACCCGTCTCATTATCGAGAACATGGACTGCTGCATCGCTACCAAGATTGCTTTCCCTGACCTCATTGCTGGTTATGATTTGGTTGGTCCCGAGGATCTGGGTCGACCCCTGTCTGATCTCCTCCCTGAGCTTTTCTGGTTCCGTAAGCAGTGCGCCATGGAGGGTGTCAACCTTCCCTTCTTCTTTCACGCGGGAGAGACACTTGGAGATGGCACTGACACTGATGCCAACTTGTTTGATGCAATCTTGCTTGGCACCCGACGCATCGGACACGGCTTCAGTCTTTTCAAGCACCCCCTGCTGATTGATATGGTCAAGGAGAAACGCATCCTCATCGAATCGTGCCCCATCTCGAATGAGGTCCTCCGCCTCTGTGGCTCCGTAACAGCCCATCCCCTGCCCGCCCTTTTGGCGCGTGGTGTTGTTTGCAGTCTGTGTAACGATGATCCCGCTATGCTCGGGCAAGACACAGCCGGCATGTCACACGACTTTTGGCAGGCTCTCCAGGGGTGGAAGAACCTTGGTCTTGCAGGCCTTGGCAGCCTCGCAGAGAACAGCGTCAGATGGGCTGCTTTCGAGGACCAGAGCCAGACTGACTGGATCAACGACATCAAGCAGGCTAGCCTTGGTACGAACGTCAAAGCCAAGAGAATGCAGGAGTGGCAGATCGAGTGGGAGAAGTTTTGTCTCTGGATCGTTGAGGAGTTTGGTGATGAATTTGGTGATGACAAGGAGAAAGAAAAGGCCAGTGATGCCTAGACACTCATTCACGACAAGACGATAGACTAAGACGAAGGGAAAACTGGTGCATATCGGCGTTGCATAATGAGATTTAGGCGTGTTCAACACAGACGGTTTGGGAGTTCAACCATCGTCTCCGTGGATAGAGGCGTATCAGAGGAATACTTCATAAAGAGCTTGTGCCTAGAAATGTCAAAAAGACTAGAGAGTTAGGTACTTTAAAAGCAATGATGAAAACTTGTTTTTATTGGAACTAAGTTATCAGTGAATATCCCAAGACATTCTGCCTAACAAACATAACCAGTAACTTTTTTATTTACGTCCTCCATCATGGGCTTCTTTTATCAATCTGGAATAACTTCTAAGTTCTACGCCTTTGTGCTGTTGAAGATTCGACCTAAAAATATCACACGTTATCGCCTAGATGTCTCCCTGAAGTGCTTTCTGTCGACGGTAAGTCAGTCGCCTTTCTCTAAGCAGTAAGCCTTCGTCAAGATATGGCAAAATATCTTCCTGAGGTTCAAGAGCCATCGGAAATTGGCCAGCACAGTGATTCAGGGGCATACCAAGACCTTCTACACTCTACAAAGACTGCCTGGAAGAGAACAGCATTGAAGATATCTGCATGAACTACCGCCCAAGGCCTGCACAGGAGATGTCAAGTTTGGCGCACGTTCTTGGAGCGCTTCCCCTTGCGGTGCCATGGCACTGTCAACGACTGTCAACAACTGTCAACAGAGTCACCCACGGCCGATGACCTACCTACCAACCTTAGGGCAAGTAACCCCCCCTTTCATATGCGCACATTGTTTTGAATTGTTGCTGCAGAAACAAAATCTTGTTCGGTTGCCTCTCTCGCTACAAATCCTTCTCCTTCCAACTCTTCCCTCCTCCTCAGCATCACCACCACCACCACAACCTGGTAAGTACAGTATTCCCATACGCACGCCCTAGATTTATTGAGGACAACATAGCGCTGACACTTCGAGATAACAGTGACCGCTGTTTCCCTGCCCCGCGATGTTGGGGGTCGCTCAAGAAGAGGAGGAGAATGAGCCCGATGGTCAAACCCCAAGCCAGCCAGAGTCGTCTCTGGTAATTCAGCCCCTCATCTCTGAGAAAAGGACAGGGCCTAAGTAACTGGTCCCCTCTGGTTCGCAACCAAGCGTACCGCATTTCGTGCTGGCATCGATTGCGGAGTTTTACTTTTATCCAACATCTCTTCTACTGAGACAACCCGCCCAAACAAGGAACTTGTAAGTACACCAAGCAAATGACTATATGCAAAATGCTAACAGCCTAGGATTGGATCTGGTCAGATTCAAGTAGATATTGATTCTTGAGATCCTTATCCTGCGACAAAAAGAAAAAAAAAGAAGAAAAAAACTCGTTCCTTTTACAGTACCATGGCCTTTTCATTTCTATACCCAGCATCAAAACCAAAAACAACACCTTCTCCCTGTTCTGTTCTGCACATCGCATTTATCGCACAAAGCATTCACTATTTTACATAAACATTCTATTTTCGTTTTGTTTCCGAGATCAACAGCAAAGCATTTCTTTCACAAACCCCTTCACAAATCCCAGCTCGGAACTACATTTCTGCAGGAGCCCGAGGATAATCTGCATAGCATGAAAACTGCTGGTTGGTTGGCTCAAAAAGCAACATGAGCCAGAGACTCGTCCTTATTGTCTCTGGTATACCTCATGCAATAATTAGCTTTGCACCAGGTTTGAGGCGCGCGTCGGACGAAACGCGCTTGATTGTTCCTCGTCCATCACCACGTTGCCCCCCGATTTTCGGGTTGGTGTTTGGGTTTTATTTTATTTTTCGCCTTCAATGATTATCATCGACTGTCCAAAACCGTCATATGGATCATCGAACATCACCACTGTTTTCATGACTGTCTATGCCTTCTCGACCCTACTCTGATACCTTTCCGCCCCTTCGCGAACTCATCTCTGCCATCGTTTGTATGGGATGATCCAGGCTCTTTACAGCCTGAGACTAACCATGACTTCCACCAAGGTGTGTTTTATCGCAAGATGAATCGCAATCTCGGTGAGATTGATACAGAGACGGGTAGCTCAGCAACCGATATGGATGGCGCTAGATTCCTCCATGACGAGCATAGGGAACAACAACGTTGCCTGGAGACATGATGTATTTCTTCATCAAGATGTCGATTTCCAGATCATCCAGTTTTCCTCCGCCATGGCAGTTAGACTAGTAGGCTCATGGAACCAACCTCATGCAGGGCCATCCTGGTCAAATCTCTATGAGTCAAGGGGATGAACTGTTGCGAATACAGGACCCTAACACTGGTTGCTGGGACTAGGCTGCCTTCTGTCGAACAGAACTATTCGCGTTGGCATCTTGCCTTTTCACTTTCGGTGGAATGGATGCAGCCCAGAGTACCTGGCCACAACATTACCCACAGACTTTGTCAAGCTCAATTAAGGAGACCAAACCAACGTTAGTTGGATCAAATAGCATTGTTCTACCAGGAAGTCAGACACATCTTTCTCCCTCGCGCTTGCCTGTCATCCAAAGCCTGACTTGGTGATACCGGGTGATTTGCTCAGCGGCCGAGATGTTGTCTCGGAGTTGCACGTTTTCTAACGGGTATCTGGACCAAAGTTTCCTTCAACAGCAGAGACACACGCCCGCTGTTTTGTTCACTCATATCGTTCTCTTTCTTCCAATCACTGACCATGCCATCGCATTCGGAGCCAACACTACAAAGGAGTCCGCCGAGCAAGGCTATACCCAAGAGTCTCGCAGTACGTGACTCTGCTGGCCTTGAAGGAACAGGTGTTATATCTGAATTGCCAAGGCTGAGAATACGGGTTGCCGGAAGCCCAAGTCAACCACCATGATCTTAATCTTGCAACGGGTGACAGTGGCAACCGGTTCATGACGGGACTCTTTGTGACATGTTGCTGCGTCTCCTTCGCTGTACTTTCGGGCTTCGCCAACTGCCCATCATTTGTAAGTCATCGCTGTACCAGCCTTCCCATGTTTTTCATATATCTAATGTGTTTTCCCCTAGCGACTTCAACTCCGGACTGTTGGTGTATTCATTTAAAGCCCAAAATCACTCTGGTTATCACTATATCGACATTTAGGCGTTGCTACGGATCGATTCTGGCTTGACATCTTCGCCCCTTTCCAGCCGTCAACGACAACTGATATCGATCGGACATTCTTGGCTACAACACCGAGATTTTGTACAGAATACGCAACGCTCCGAAGATATGGCTGAAGGTTGAGCACTCGCATGGCTTGTTGATACTCCACCAAGTCCACTCCAGCGTCAACTGGTACATGGAACTCAACGTCAAGCACATCTAGACTCGGGTTCACGCGTAGACGGCTATTGTTGTCAGCCATCGCTCATTATGGATTCGAGACAGAAATCGTCATTGGTGCTGGCAAGCTCCTTGAAGCTGGAGACAGTCGGCTGGTATAGAAGGAAGCGAGTTTGTCGATTTTATGAGGGCTGGAGGGAAGGATGTGCTTTTTAGCACTGATGGTTCATTCTGAAATCTAAGACTTGCCCTCAAGTTGTCGCTCCTTGTTCATGTTGCAGTACCTTTGTTCCTGATCATTTCTTAAACAGCCCATCCCATGGGCCAAGTAGGAAGATAGAAAGCTATTTACCAGCAGCTACTTGAACCTTGATATAATGAAATGTAATTGATTGACAGTCAGTTCCTGGGCCCTTCGCACGCTCTCCAGCGTATTCTTTAGAATCCATTGAGTTCCGCTTATTTATAAACCCTGAGTGGCTTTGCTCGCTCCGCTACACATTGAGTCTTCAGGGAGTACAGCATGGTTTTGGTCTTGAAAATGGTCGATTCTGTACGACCTGTAATGATATTGACAACTTGGACAACCCCCTGCCTATTGATACCCGCAGCAGAACAGACTCTTGCGTTCTGTCAGCAGATGTCGCCTCAACGTTGGAGTCCACAACTTCGGCATTATGAATAGTGCCATAGCGTATGCGGCTTGGACATTCTTTTTTTTGGCAAAGGCCATGGGGTGGAGTCAACTCGACTTTCCCATTCGATCAGTAGGAAATGATAAGGCTTCGCAATTGGTCAAGTCAGTCGTAGGCCCATCGCTATTTCAAGTCAGTGCTCTTGTTCCATTAATTGACCGTGTTCATGAGTGGGTTGTAGAGGTCTATAAAGGTATCTTTGATGTCTCCGAGTTGGATAGTCTTTTTCACGCTGTGCCTGACAGCATCATGGCGGGTTTCTGTCTACATGTGGCGATTGTTCCCTGCTTCTTCGATGCACCGCAGACATCCTCATGCTGGACTTGTAGTGGCAAGTCATGTCACAAGTACCTCTGAACTGGCCTGTTTCCAAGAGGGTGTTGCTGTGACCAATACTCTCAGGTTCAGCTATCTAGTGTCGATGTTGAATGGGCGGGAAAGGTGAAAGGGGTTCCTGGTGTTTTCTTGAGCCAGGTAAGATCAGGCAAGCATTCTTTCCTTGGAAACCCTCTCCGCTGTAATGCGACTGAATGACTGAAGGATAGACATTAGACTTGATGATCCAGGCCATTTTACAATCGAGTCAGAGTCAGAAGTTGCAGTTGGCAAGCCGCGTGTTGTATCGACTTGGCGGTCCCTAATCTCGCGCTCTCCAACAAAACCTCATATCTATCCGGTATGGTGTAGTGGCTAACATTTCGCGCTCTCATAACCTGAGAGATCTGTTCCGCGGAGCCCAGGGTTCGATTCCCTGTACCGGAGTTCCTTTTTGCTGTTTATGTCAATCCCAGATAGCTTCAGTAAATCCTTCTTGATTATTTAGCATACATCTGGATGCATAGATATCTATGCTATGTGGCTAGGCCTTCTACCCCGAACCTGCCTGCTCCTTTTCATTCCATAGTGATCATATGCTTGAAATCATGAAGGCCGACCTTCAGGTCGTCGAGAGCCTCGTCGAGTGTTGGTTGTAGACCAAAGTCTGCCATGCGACTTGTAAAGTCACTTGCAAGGACAAGCGGCAGAACAGGAATCCACGCACGGTTGATGAATGGTTGAAGCACCAGCCCAGTCTTGCAAACTGGTAAATATACGTCTGCGCATAATGCTTGCAAAATGTCTCTGCTGTACCCCAAGACCTTGTTTCTCTCATGCCGGTAATAATTGTCAATAGCCCGGCTGAAAGCATCCTCCATATCCTCATGAGATCTCCTTCCTTAATTAAGCATGTGCTTCTGGTTAAGCTTGGGAAAGCCGCCAGCTCCCTTCGATTCAACCTTGACGAATTCCCGAATCCTTTTCCGAGTAAGGTAGACGACGTGGTCTCGGTTGTACCTTATCACAGTCGGAAGCCACTCTATCAGTGACTCAGTCTTCCAGCACGGCATTGGCCAGTACTTTGCGTCTGACTCCGATGAGAACGAGACGAATTTGTTGGCTTCATTGATTACGAGAACTTGACAGTCCTTCCAACAACCAGCATGTCACATCCAATGAGTCGGTTCAGCCCCGTGACTCTGATGCCCTGTCGTTGACTAAGACAGTCAATGGGCTATGTGTCGCTGTGGACGCAGCCGCCAATGGTGTTACGAGCTCCGGCGACAAAGTAGTGGATATCAGTAAAATATTGCGTCGACATGAGGTTGTGTTCCTGGAGTGTGCAGAGGAAGCTCCAAAGCTGCTGCTCCTGGCCGACTCTGTCAAGAGTCTCCTGTCAGTTTCAGGGCTGGTCAAAAGCATCCATAACAACATGGCCCCTGAATCATTGCGTCTGAAAGGGGAACATGACAGTATTCTGGCGTCGATGTCTAAGGCAGTCGAGGAGACCCAGCGCGAGATAGGTTGCCTCAAAGAGGTCGTCGAGGCTAATGCTACCACTATTAAGTCGATATCGAATACTATCAACGAGAAACTTACGCCGATGTTAAGCGCCATCTCTGACACCCAGGAAAATATGAACCCTCTCAAGACGGACATCGAGCGCTCCATCAATGAAGGTAACCAGAAAGGGGTGGGAAGTCTCGAAGAGGCAGTCAAGGGCGGCACCAGTATCGAGCGTGAGATTGCCAAGACTGCTGTTGATCAGGCTGTCAGTAGTACTCTCGGTACTATTGAGAACCGCTTTGTCTCCGCTGTCAAGAACGCTGTGAGCACAGTTCAGGTATCTATCACTCACAACGGTGATAGAGATGACAATGGGAATGACATTGCCATGGATGAAATATTGAATGGGCTTGCATTGCTAAGCTGACACATGTTCTATACGTCAATTCATGACTTGCCAGGTTTTGAATTTGTGTTGCAAGTCTATTTAGTTAGTGCTGATGATGTGACTACCTTATTTACCAAGGAGTCAGTGAATGCTGGCATGTATGCATATCTCGGTATGTTTTTCAGGGAAATGCAACCTATTGCGTGATATCTAATAAACTGATAGGCTTCACTCTGGGCTCGGGTGGCAAATAGATAACCATCTGGTGAATGGATAAACATTTTGCCCACGCAATTCTATCACTCGAGTTAATTGCTGCGATGTGCAAATCGCCTGACTGACTAACACGCGGTTGTCCCTCAGCCACAGCACCATTCTAAAGACATAATAAAGAGAGCTTTCCTGAATTATCAGCATCTTAGTTCTACTAAGTCAATCAGCCCTATGAATCTAATATCCTGACGGACGTCAACTCAGAAGCTGATAGATCGTAAGTCTATGGGGTTTCCCGAGCTGCTTATGTTCGCTCGTTCTTTGAAATTTTTGACTAGAAGGTCACAGTGGGATTGTGTCACAGCGTATTCTGATCCATCTGTTACATACTACGGTAGTTGCAATAGTCGACTTGGAGAGTTGAATATTGGCTTGAACAACTTAAATATTTTGCGCAATGGTAGGGGGTGATATCTTTAGGGGGTTCTTGAGTTGTTGCTACAAAGCCGTGAGCTGTATGTATTGGCACTATCAGGGACTTGACCAATCGTTACCATTAATTTTGGCAAACTCGTTGACTCTTTTGGTATCATTAACGAGGTTGAATGTTTCTGAGATCCAATGCTATCAGGGGCTCAGATATTGAAATGGGGAACGGATGGCTCGTGTCGTTCACAGGACTCAAAGAAAGGCATAGTTGGACCTAAGCTTAGGATAATTATACAAAGTTCATATAATTTATTATTATATTAGGATGAAGTTAGGATAAGTTTATGATAACTTTAGGGCAATCATAAGATTCTACATGGTCTTGGTACAGACCCAGCCTCCTTTTTGAGATGCCAAACCGTCCAGCCGGCATCTTCCCTCTCGTGAAGTGGTGAGTTGTGACGCTTACCCTAGCATCGAACACAACGAGGTGTGTAAGGGTTCGGCCTGACTGGATACAGTTCTCACACATGATGGCCCTCATGGCGAAATCGACCTTGCTAGAGATTTCTATGAGCGACTGACGTGCTTCAAAGTACCCGATGAGCAGCGAGAAGGGAGGTGCTGCACAGTTCTTATTCTCGGCCGACAATGATGGTGCCTAGTTTGGCCCGGCTCAATGCGACAGTGAGGCGGGATTCGTGGTTGAAAATCCCCAGCCGATCCCAGTGTCGTAGATGGTGGCATCAGCTTGGAAGCTTGGAGATTCGTCGGCAGTTCGAATATCGACAAGGCCCTTGGGCATCTCCGCCTCATCTACTAGCCAGAAGTCCTTGGTATATATTCTTTGCGCTTTGTATCCATCGATTATCAGAGCAGAACCGCGTCGCACAGGAAAAGTCTTGTTCTGGCTGCATTCAGGATCTTCCCGCCGCGATACATTTGGATGATCAACTGAACGACGTAGTTCGCATGGTAATGGTTCGCGAATGAGAAACCAACGTCTTTGGGGCGCAGCATGATGGTGGTGCCGCGGGCGCCGAATGTTGCCTTCAAGCAGTCCTTGAAGGATCCAGTGGCTTTAGTAGGAATCCGATAGACAATAGACATGTCACGGCCGTAGAACGCCCCGGTCACGAATTCGGCAGCGCGGCGCCAGGCACGGTGGTTGCGCTTGAGCACGAAGGTGGCATTACTGGTGGCTTCCATTCGCTCGAACACACTGATTTGTCGTTTGGGGCTGTAAACAGATTTGGAATCTGATTGACCGTGAGCGAGTGAGAACTGCCTTGTATCAACAGAAGTTTTTAGAGCACTCTGCTAGAATTACTGGACTATGAGTCTCATGTTTTCGTTCAGTCGTGCAGCCTCATCAACAGTGATCATTCCAGGCGTCGTGAACTTTAGGCCAAGCCTTGGGGTCATCAATAGCCTTCGAGCGTGCATACTCGGACAGTACACTTAACTCGAGTTGGAGACTTTCACTGAAGGTCTGCCGAACGAAGGTATCGGTGTGTTGGATAAGAGCCACCTTTGAGGGATTGGTGGCGATATCAATAGATGTGTCGGTCTCTGTAGGTGCCATTGTCGGTGCAGTTCGGGACTCTTCGCATCTCCAAGTCCGCAGGAAGGAACAGGACTTGTAGTTCAGAGTATGGCGGAAGAAGACAGATTACCCTGGCTAGAACTCTGGTCCTTGCTGCGTAACACTCTTGTTGACTAGGCCTTGCTACAGGGGAGGCTGTACTTGAGAATAACAACTTCGATATGCGTGTGGTGAAAGTTCCGCTCAGGATTTATGGATACTCAAAATCTGGGCACAGGTTCTCCGTCCGCTAAAATCGTCGGAAAATTTTCATTTCTCATCCCTCACCAGGGCTTTGACTCGTGGGTTGATGATGTTCATCATGGTTTCGTTTTGGTGCTCGGGCATCTTGATCGCTAGGTTCATCCACTTGACAACTTGGCTGCTGCAGATCATCGAAACGACGTTCTGGTTGGGCTTTACCGTGGGTGGCATCTGAAATATAAGTCAGAACCACAATGGGTAACAGAACAGGCACATTTGGACAGGGGATGCAACCCTCGAGGACGGCAGGGAGATTTTTGCCTTTCTCGACTTCAGAGACGCGTTCAGCCTGTCTGCAGAAGGTTCTATAGTTGGGGGACTTCGTGAAATAGCTTGTCCCAATCAGACCATGACCACTCATCAACACCTTACGGGCAGCTTTGTGGTAATTTGGAAGATGTTCGCGAGGATAGCTAGTGACGCCAGCCCGTTCGTAGATTTCGACGAGCACTTGGCCGTAAAGTGTCTCGAGAGTTTCTTCATCTACGAAGTCTCTTTTATATACAGGGCGCGCAGTTTCATAGTAGACATGGCCAAGGTCGAAGTGAGGAGACCTGGCGGCAACACGACATGCATCTCATTCTGCGCCTCTGCTGCCACCATTGGTAGGGGGCGCGTGTTGTGTTGTCTAGTGGGGAATTAATGAGGATATTTAGGATGATATTAGGATACTATCATCTAATATCCTTTTGAAAATGGCCTGGAGACTCTCCACAAGAATTAAGTGCGGCCTGTTTGAGGCGCGGGAAGAGCCTGAGAGACAGAGGAGCCTGTCGGCGGGAAAGGCTTTGACCGAGAAAGTGTTTCCAGAAAGAAGAAAAAGGTGAAAAACTCAGATGTTTTGATGAGATCATTTGTGGCCTTTCAAATATGCCCTGCAGCCTGTGGGTGTGTGTTGGAGAAGTAAGATGCGGAAGCAGAAACTGTGCCACCACTCCAACAGTGTTTACCACCATCGCTTGAGGGGTGAATGTCGTGAGTCGCTTGAAGGAGAGATATCTATTTGTTAATGGAAACAATGACAAAAACCTTATACGCAGCTCATGTTTTGCTTACTCCGTTGAGTGGCCTCCGCTCTCCCCTGCTCAGGGGATATTGAACACAATTGGCACACCGACTGTATGTTTCATAAAGGCATTTGTCCAACTGACAAACTCCCGTGGGTTATTTGCTTACCTGCATAGTAAGGAGTGGTTGGTAAAAGAGAAAACACATCTGTAGTAGTAAAGGATTCCACAAACATAGAGCCGGCAGCAGCTGGTAAGCGGTGCTGAGAATCGACCTGATTTCGTTGCTACATTGCTAACAGCACTAAACTTAGGATTAACTTCCATAAATCTTGGATCTATATCCTAAAGTTATCCTAAGTATTATCCTAAGCTTAGGTCTAACTCCGGGCATTTCTTCCTGTTGTAAAAAACTATCTCCCTCCTCCATATCACCACCACCAGTTATGAATACACCCACACACGCAATATCAATCATGCAGACTGTTATTCTCCTCGCGCTCCCACGCTTTGCGCTGACGGGGTTTCTCACGCCTACGATTCACCGCCTCTCCTGAACCTCCAAACTCTGCTTATTTTCTATCATCCTACTCCTCATATGGCCATTTACAAAAGCAATCTCATGATGGAGAAGCAAGCTCTGACTCTGAAAGAGTCAGAGTCCGAGGTAGCCAAGTCCACTTTTGAAACCAAGAAATATTAACCCATAACAGGATCAATGTCCTTGGTCACTATGGAGCCGAGCAATAGGTGAAGAGAATACCACCGAGAATCGTTGTCCAGGTCAAAATATCACCCATCCTAAATGCTTAGGCAAATGCGAAAGATACGACAACTACATCGCTGTGTACGCATACCACGGAATCGGGCCCACCCGGCAAGATAAGCCGATATTGACCGACAAGATAGAATCAAAGTTCTATGAAGCCATCTTCGAAGATGGCTGGGACGGCTTAACGGAATCTTCTTCCTTGCCCCTTTCTCCGAAGAGGGTGGCTAAGGAAGTTGGTCCCTGCGTTGGAGTTTGGAACCAAGACTTGATTCCAAAGTCTCTAAAGAGAACCTCAGATGGCGAGATGAAGCCTCCATCACCAGTACGCCGCAACGGCGCCGCTGCTTACTTCTCTGGAGCTCTTCACGACGAAAGAGTGTAAATTCTCTTCCAAGTCCGGGACTCGCAGTCAAAGCTGTCGTCGATCAAGAACGTAGATATCGATCCGAAAATCGGCGATATCTACGAGGCTCGAGGGATCGTCTGCGCGAACCACGACGCCGTTGAGACTCGGCGAGTCTCGGACTTCAATAAGAGTTATTCGTGAGAGAGATTACCCGTCAAAAGATCATCAAATGGAAGAACACAGGGACGAATGGAGAGATGGTGGCAAAGGAAGAGGAAGACCAGTTAACTGGCTTCCTGGAGATGGATTTGTTCGAAGATGCATTCGCTCGAGCCGATAAGAGCCGGAATGGTCACAGTCGGAAGCCAAAGCGTGGGAGCGCGAGGAGAATAATAGTCTACATGCTTGCAAACCTATTCATTAAGCATTCCTTTTATCCCTAGGAAGCAGTAATATAAGGCTTATCTTGGTGCTTCCCTGGTGGCTGTCAGGAGAACTATGCATAATTACCCCCGAGTCTAGGTACCAGTCCGAATACAAATCTCGACATGAATTTGCATCATGCTCTGAACTCAGGACTGATCTAGAAGTTCGTTTTTGCACTTCGAAGCTTTCGAAACCAGGATACTTATCAACATTTGAAAATTCTCATAATAAATCTACTCACATTAACGGGAACACCAATTCTACTGCTATCACGGTCACTTTACGGTCAGAGCCGACACTTATAAAAAGGACTCGGGTTTAGTTAGTGAAGTGATTATAGATGGTAGTCTATTCGTAAAGCGATAAGTATTTGACTTGGCGCGTTTAGTAGGTCGCTCTACCTCTATGTGGATGGTATATAGCTCAAGCGAACATGCCAACTCAACCACAAAGTGCACCAAAACTTTTAATGAACTGAGAATAATGCATTTTGTTCCTTGTTCTCTGGCAAGGAAAGTAACTTCTACAAACTTTGACATAGGAGATGGAGCTGTCTAAATTGTACATGCTTCCATGGGCGCCATCCTTCTCAACGACAACCATCCCACTGCATTTCCATTGATTAGATCCATTGGAAGTACTGCCTTGACGCAATTTGGCTGGATCTTGATTCCTGATCGACTCCTCTGCCTTTGAATCCTTACTTTCTGTACCAATGTCGGGTTATGCGAGTGTTCCTCATTTTCCGCTGGAGCTGGAAGATTCCGTACATCAAGGCTTCACTCGTAGGAGGACAGCCCGGTACATATACGTCAACAGGAACTACCCTATCACACCTTGCCTGGTTGTTAGCTGGACTGTATGAGCAAAAGGGGGGGGGGGGGGGGGGACATATCTCGGACGACAGAGTAGCTGTAGTGGTAGTATCCGCCACCATTAGCACACGAACCCATGGAAATAACCCAGCGGGGATCAGGCATCTGATCGTAAACCTGTCGAAGAGCAGGAGCCATCTTGTTTGTGAGAGTACCGGCAACAATCATGACATCGGACTGTCGTGGCGAAGCACGGAAAATGATACCGAGGCGATCCTGATCGTATCGGGGGGTGGAAAGATGCATCATCTCGACGGCACAGCAGGCCAGACCGAAGGTCATGGGCCAAAGGGAGGACTGACGAGCCCAGTTGGTGACGGCATCAAGCGTGGTCCTGTTGAAAGGAACAGGTTAGTGCAGTCCAGTATTTGGGTGGCGAAGGCGATTTTCTCGAGAAAAACGAAGGTAGCAGGAGTAACATACAGCGCATACTGCAGAGCACCCTTAGGAGCAACCTCGCTGGGCAGCGGAACCTCTCTGCGAACCTTGCCTAGACCAGTTGCTGAGTGAGTCTGGAGGGCGCTCGCATCGCGGCGAGAGTTGGTCGTGAAGGCGGCAGCGGTAGTTCGGAAAGGAACAATGGCAGTTGTAGGCTTGGCTATCGCAACAAGTAAAGTCAGCAACATATATTGGCGTCGCGATGATCGAATTCGTTGTTTGAGCTATAAAGCCCGCCTGGCCGGGAGAGTTCAAGGCACGCACCTCGGAGGGCCATTGAGGCCGCGGACCGCGTAGAAGAGAGCATTTTGGGCGAAAGAACGATTCGGCAGAGGAGTGAACCTCGATCGCACGATATCAGAGAGCCTGAAGAGGGGAGATTGGCGCGGGCGTGGTTGACGGCGTTGGCGGAGCGAAGCTTTCTTGGTTGATGTTGAATGATTCGCCTCTTTGCTTGCCGACCAGGAATAAGACAATTCTGATTGGTTGATTTGGGCTTCTTGAAAGCCGTGGATTAGCCGACGTGGTGGGGATGCTCTTTTGGCGATAACCTCGGCGACCTTATAAGAAAGCTGGATGTCAAAAGTTGATGACTTTTAGGAGTTATTCCTGCGGTAGGAGAGAAGACAATTCGAAGGTTTGATATTTTTTCTTTGTTGACGTTTTCACTGGGAATCGTTTCGCCTCACACTGTCATTGGGTTCAGAAGGTCTCGTGCTGCCAAATCCATGACGTTCACATTGCCTCTAGACCACTTGACGGGAAGTAAGCGAATGTTCTCCAATCGACATGAGCTGAAATGAAATTCTGTGTTCTGGTGCTTGAAGCCAGTGGCAAATACCTGGTGTTTGTCGATTTGGATCTTCACTTTTTGGGCGAGAAGATGGGAGTGCTACTGGTTTAACATTGGACCTTGAGTTCAACTCATCCGCAGACACATCAAAATGTCGGAGTTTTGGAAATGTAAGAAAATGCATTTCCGTTATTCTCGCCTCCATACGAGCCTTAGTCAATGAAATTTAGAGACCGTTTTGTTACAGCTTTTGTCATCCTCAATAGTTGCATGGACAAGTGGTGTCGAATTGAGTATATGCATTTAAGGAGACGGTGGAAGAGTATGGAATGCGTGTTCAGGGTTTGGTCAACGACTTGAATATCACAAGGCTTCAATAAAATGTCATTAGTTCTCAACCCGATATCATATGTTTCCATGGGTATTGCTTCTTGAGTTTACGCTTAACTGTGGATATGAGGATAGTGTTTCGACTTCCTGTCTCTGACCGAGCATGTAACGATTTTTGATCGATTATCAGTAAAACGAAGAAGGATGAATAATCTTTGGTTAATAATCTAAATATGCGTGGAAAATAAACTAATAAAGCTACTCTGAAGATCTTCCCCAGAGTTTCTCACCCTTACCACGCGAGAAAGGGGTCGTCGGCTGCCTACTGGTACGAAGTTTGTGAAAATCAGTTCGTGGTTGGCTCCAGCGGTTGAACTAAACAAATGAGTTGACTTGGATCAGTGACAGGGATTGTTTATTCGGAGCCGGGGATAGCTGCATCTTCAGTCACAGGTCGGTTATGCACAAAACATATTGTAGGGTCACAGTGGTTTCATTTCAGATCTTCAAAATTAAAGAGAGAACCAATTGAGTCTTTTAAGTTCGAGGAACCTAGTGGACTTGTTGTTAGATTTATTTTATGATCCATGCTTGTAGTCTCGGTTGCTGCTCGCATTGACCCGCCGCTCAAGGATTTTAACACACGGGGATATGAAGCGACTCTGCATTTGCACACATCGCGGCTGACCGTAATGACCGTAGGCCCGTAAGTGATTTATATTGGTTGATGGTTCACCCCTGGACTGAATGTCGGCTAAGTGACAAGCATTACCAAGCGCAGTTTTCATGGTTCAAAATGCTTAACATTGAACCCTGAACGCGTACAGACACCGCACGTAGTGTAGTGCAGAAAGAAAGACATTTATGGTTACGATTTGCACGTTCCTCGTCATCCGCTATTATGTCACTTTGGGTATGCAAATGGATAAAAGTCAGCCACCACGCGCCAAAGCAAAAACTAGACGCGACTAATCTGATATGCATAAAGGTGTATTCTAGGTAGTCGGTGGTGAAGATGCTGATTTTAACATCCAATTCTATCGTTACAATAACAAGAGCAATTCCCAAAGACTAAATAATACATAAGTGAAAGATTCACAAGGGACGTGGATTCGCTTGATAGTTTCTAAAGACATAAATAGCATTCCAGACTAAAGTCAGTGGATCAAACCCGGCCTGCGATCACTAACATGGACGCCAAGCCACCCCGCTAATGGCTAAGCGCGGGCAGGACAGTAGTTTCCGTTCTGAGACTCTGGTTCCCCCTTTCTGGCTGCAGACTGTCACTTTATCACCTCCTACGGAAAGTGGGCGTCTTTGAAGGATGGATAGTACTACGTGGAAAGTCTTATACGAGACCAAGACTTGAAAAATGCGAGCATCAAGGGGTAATAAGCCCAAGCTTTAGGTTAGACTTTGGGTGTTACTGAATCACATGAAACAACTTAATTATGTTTCTTGACCACGTCTCCAAAGACCTCTGAACTCGGAAACTCTTCAGCACATGGTGCTCCCCTGAAGCGAAGTTCTAACCTATTAACCGGGGCGCGATACATCTCCATAGAAGCGGACTTCATATGGTGACTAACATGCAGAGGATTTGACTAACGACATTAGACATTAGCTTGCTGTCTTTTCGCAGCCAGCTTAGATATCCTGTTGAGATCCAACTAAGAACCTTCGCCCTAGAAGGACAATAACTGAAGAAAGAGCCTAGCGGTGCTGCTGATTCTCTCTTTGTCTCCTCGAACCCTGGTCTCTTCAATTGACAATCTCTACAACGACAAAGCTCCAATACCACCCTGGCTTTATAGCACCTTGCTCGAGTTAATATGCAGGTGGCTCCGCAAATCTCCAAGTAACTTCTCCACGCTCCAACGCCCCCTCCACTCAGGGCCAATTCTTGGGATTTGACTTGCGACTTCCCGGCGATTTCCAGTTTCCACCTCGACAAGGCGGCAGGTACTTGTCCTGGAACTCCTTCCCGTTCCACCTGACCTTTCTCAACACCACAACCTCAACTCACCAATTCTCACCTCACTTGTCTGATCTTACCCTTCTTTACCTTTCATTGTCTCTTGGTTTCTTCCGTTTAATCTACTCCGGCTTCTCCATCTCCTCCTACGACCAAAGTCACCGCGATCCACCGATTTCTTACCGAGAGCAACATCGAACGCATCCTTCTCCGTCGCAAATCCGAATAATATCCTGCCTAAAAATGCCCTCGGGCTACGCTCTCTGAGCTTGCGATCTTCCGTCGATGCTTCGTTTTCCCGCTCCTCCGTGGCGCGCATAGACTATCCGTCTCCTCCGCCTCCTGCATTGTCTTAGATCATATCCGTGGCCATGATGTGGCCTCGGTTCAAACAATGGCTATCGAACTGGCCGTCTCGATTGGTCTTCCGCTACCTCAGCACCCTATTTCTCATATGTTTCGCTATTACCAATTATATATTATGGACCAGCAGTCAGGGCTGGGATGTGACAGAACCCAAGGGTCCAGTCACCATGGGCCCAAAGCATCCAATTAAGAAGCTCATGGCAGATGCCCGCGCTCGCCATGAGAGCCTCCTTTCAAAACGAAGCCATGATCTTTATGATGCTGCCGAGCGTTATCGTGCCCGCCGAGGACGTCACCCACCACCAGGTTTCGACAAGTGGATGGAGGCTGCGCTCGCTTCCAATAGCATTGTGGTAGAGGATTATTTCGATCGCATATACAAGGATTTGGCTCCATATTGGGCGCTTGACGCTCACACACTAGCTAGGCGCGCATCTGCCTGGCATTGGGTCGTGAAAGTTCGCAATGGCGAGGCCACGGGTGTTGGTGATGCAACCGATCGTGTGCCGTGGCTTGAACTATGGACCAACCTCGTCAAAGAGTTTGCAAAGGATTTGCCCGATGTCGATATGCCAATCAACTACATGGATGAACCTCGACTTCTTGTTCCTTTCGACGAATTATCCAAACTTGTCGATCAAGAACGCGACAATCGGCGCATCGCTCCTATGAAGGAGGTCTTCACAAAGTTTAAGACTTTGTCCAAGCTCGACGACGAAAAACCTCAGCCTTACGATCCCTACTGGTACAATAGCTCAGCTAACTATTGGGAACTCGCGCGTGTGACGTGTGACCCCAACGCTCCGTCACGCAATGTTCAACAAGTCTCAGACTTTAAGGCTCCTGTTGAATATCCCTCAAATTGGGACCCTGAGTACGCTTATAAGGGTTATATCAAAAACTGGACCGCTGCCCAGGACCCTTGTTTACAACCACATCTGCGCCAAATGCACGGAAGCTTTGTTGCGCCTCTCAGTTTGTCTACTTCTACCGAATTGATCCCGTTGTTTGGCGGATCTAAGCTTCCTATGAACAATGAGATCCTGATCCCTGGCGCCATGTACCTTACTGCAGATGAATTCTATTCTGGAGGGGAGAAGATGGGTCCAGCATGGCACGCCAAGAAAACCGGCATTGTTTGGAGAGGTGATGCTTCTGGCGGCGAGCCGAGAGCTGATGTCTGGCATCGCTTCCATCGTCACCGTCTTATCCAGATGCTTAATGGTTCATATGTTGACAGTGTTGAGCATCAAGGCGTCAAGCCCAAAACATTTCAACTGCCAAACCCCGACCATTATAACAGCACCCATCGCGCCTCCAAAACTATTGGTCAATGGCTGAAGCAGATCTCTGATTGCGGGTTCAAACGTCTTCTATGTGAAAAAGTTGGCTGCGATCCTGTTGCTCCTTATTATCGCGAATTGAAGCATATGACCATGAAGGAGCAGTACCGCTACAAATTTTTGCCTGATACCGACGGCAACTCATTCAGCGCCCGTTTTCGTGGCTTCTTGCGTTCCTCGAGCATGCCTCTCAAGGCTACTATCTATGCTGAATGGCATGATGACCGCCTTACTCCATGGGTTCATTTTGTACCCTTCGATAATACTTTCCAGGATCTCTATCCCATCCTCGAATTCTTCACGGATGAAGAAGCCGGCGGGGATACCGCCGCGCGATTTATTGCTGAGAGAGGAAGAGACTGGGCCAGCCAAGTCTTGCGTCGCGAAGATATGCGACTGTACACTTGGCGCCTCTTGCTTGAGTGGGCTCGAGTCTGCGATGAAGACCGCGAGAAGCTCGGATTCATAAGAGACTTGATAGAGCCCAGAAAGGATTCAATACGATAACCCTGAGTTAAGGTTGGACTGCACATGTTTACTACACCTTGATCCAGCGCCAAACTGGGTGGTTTCTAGGTGCTCACGTATATATTTAATATTCACGGCCTGGCGTTCTGGAGTTGGATTGTTTGTGTACGAGGGGCTGGATATCTGTGAGATAATGTGGATGGCATACAATGCGTTTAGGACGCTCGACCGTCTGACGTTCTATACCTTGGGAGGGAAAATCATGTAACTGAGGCATACCACAACACCAATGACGTTGGATGAATGAAAGATAAGGAAGAGATGGAATAGAAGGGGTCCTCTCATTCTTAATTCTCGACTGTAGAAAGTTGGGCTAATCCACCCTAAATAATAAATATGATACCAAATCCTGTCATAAAGGCCCATGTTTTGCCAGGTTTATACAGTCAGGAACAAGGTACAAAAGGAATATGCTGGTCATGATTTCCATCCTCATTACGATGCCAATATATTGTAGCAATGCCCCATTCTTACAACTCCATGCCCTAGAGCACTTCACCATGCCACGCCACGCCCATTATGAACCAACTCCGAAAATCACTCCGACATGCATTCAAGCCTGTACAACACAACGGAATTCTTCACAGTTGTAGGTTCGTAACAGGTTCGCGGGCAGGTTGGCCTTTTAGGTGTGCGGCAGAACCCTTGAAAAGCGACTGCCAAATGAAAGCCTCACTCAATAATAGCTCGATGTCCTTCTCCGTCCAGTCCTTAGTGGGAAGGCATTGGAGGAACATCATGATCTCCTGAAAGTCCATACTCAGGAGCTTATCGGACCATTTCACAAGAAAGGCCGCACACACATATAGATGGAACTCAGAGAATCCTTGTTCTTCAGCCTGAAAAGTAGTTAGTTTTTGGGCATTGTTAGCAAATGGATATTGACAAACCAAATAAGTGTCCCACATGCGAACTGTGTTTTTGACGCTGATTTCACGCATCAAGAGACAGTTCATCCAACGGAAACTAAACTGGATGAATTCAATGCCTTCTTGTTCCAAATGCTTGGACAAGTTGCCGTCTATACGTGCTGTTAAATCACGTAGAGCGGCAACCTGGCGTTGAATACCTGGTTGCGCCACGATATAGTGGTCCTGGATGCCATCAAGAAGCTTTGTCAGACACCAGAAAGAATCGGCCTCGACAGCGTCTAACACAGACTTTGGGAGCTGTCCTGGATCCATGCCCGACTCTATATCAGGGTCTCCAATGTAAATCCCTAAAAAGACTTGCCAAAAAGGCGTTACAAGGTCATTAATACCCTGCACGTAGCCACTGGCAGGATGTCGTACAGCCCACACATACAGAATGCGCTCAAGTGATCGCTGCGTAGCTTCGTAACTGTATAGTTCAATATGCGGGTTTGTCCGGGGTACATCGATGCTGATTTGGTGCCAGATGGCCTCGTCCAGGCCCCTTGTTCGGCCGGCAGGGGCTGTGTTGGCTGCAGTGGTTGCGGCGTTTCCTCCTCTCTCAAATGCCTGGCGTACACCGTCCAGGTATTCTTTTCGTTTCCTCTCCAAGGTGGCGACCCGGCGCTCACTATTCGCAGGAAGATAGCTGAGGAGGAGTTGCCAGGTAATGGCGCGCACCTCTTGTGGTACGCCAGACCAGGCGAGTGACCTCAAGTCAGGCAGTGAAATAGTAGAAGCTTGTAACAGCTTCTTGAACTTATTAATACGTGTAATTCGGGAGTTTATGGCATCGGCTTCCTTAGGGGTAGCATTGGCAGGAACTGTGGGATAGTTGATGAGATGTAGAGCGTTGGCGGGGTCTGATTGTCATCGTCAGTACTTCTGTGACAGCGCTTTGAAGTGCGAGCAGCAAACCTTTTAGGATCTCTTTATACTGAGGCCGGAGAATCTTCCCCTCACTCTTTTTGGGCATGGGGTATGTGGGTGCAGGTCGCTCTATCGCAATGTCGGCGCTATTTGAATATCGTCTCGCCGAGAGAGCATTAGGAGGCCCCTCTGTTGTCGGTGATAATGTACTTGATTCGGTCTTGTTCTGTGTGGCAATGCGCCGGGTTCTTCTCTTCATACTCGACAAACTCGGCAGACCAAAGTCATCTCCATCATCATCCTCGTATCCCAGCATGTCATCCTCGTCTGCTTTCCAGTCATCGTTGGTATTGGAGAGAAAGTTGATATAGCTCTTGTAGGGAGGTGAGCCATTCTTTCCAGGCGTTGTCTTCGGCGGGGGGGAAGCTTCTTGAATTCGGATTCTAGCTGAGGAGGAAGAAGGAGGTGTCCGTGGTCGAGAGGAGTTGGAGAGGTTTCTGTGAATCGATGTCAGCAAACAAGAACTAAGCTTTGAGCAAGGTCAAGCCAACGGACAAAGAGTCGAATTTGAGCATATCCGCATGCGAATATGAAGCGCCAACAACAAGACCTGAGCCATGGCCGGTGGGCGACGTGATGTTTCTCTTTGTTGTAGAGTTGTCTCGTGGTGGCGGTCTCCAAAAAGGCGATACGGACCTAGTTGTATAAGCTTCAGCGCACAAGCTTAGAGGATATGGAACTCCATGTCAGCTAATACATACTCTGATCGGTCTGTCTCGAAGCAATTGAGCTTGTATTAGCAAAGGTTCGACATCTCACAACTCCTCGCTGAACATACCGACTTGGACCATCTCCTGCGGCGGTGGGGCTGTTAGCAGAGGCGGGCGCCATTACGTCGAGTCTCGTGAGCATAGAGAGCTTCGACGCTGATAGTCATGACTTACAGATTGCGCGGGCTTCTTGCCGCTCGCAGATGACGACCACATGGTTCGCTTAAGAGGAAAAGAGGCCGTGGACAAGAGCCTTGGAAAGTATTTTACATGCTGCGATGTAACGCAACGCAATGATGTTGTGAAGTGTAGGAAAGTCAGTAGGTTGGGTTGGTTGACCTATTCTACTATGGATCGATCAAACATAATGGAAACGGGCTTAATTAGGCTGCCCTGGCTCAACCACGAGATCACCCCGCAAACAGCACTACCATGGCTTGGAAATAGCGGGTTTGGACGGGTTCATAGCGGGGGTGTCCGCTAATTGAGAACTGTGCCTTGACCCTGTGGCCTCAGCTAGCCTCGAGGCGGATTCCTCGCCCAACAAACGGTACGAGCCTAGGCACGCATACAGAGCAGAGCAATTCACCAACGAGCGCATGTGGTTGGAGCCAGATTAACAAAACCTAATGCCTAAAGACAAGACGCGCTTCTTGACAATGGAGCTTGCAGAGTATGTGCATAGGAATATAGGGGTTGTAACGGAGAAGCATAAGATTGCGAGGACAAAATGTCTTGAAATTGTAGGGAAAAAGTCAATTTTGATTATCATCTTCAGATTCATTATCTTCAAAGTCTCAGTTATGTTAGAAAGAGCCCGAGACTCGGATTGTTGTTTGTTTGGAGTGGTGCTGATTTCTGGTTGGTCCACTGCTGGCTTAGTCAGTAAAGTGAGTTAGGCTAATTTTAGCTCCGCTGCTCAAGAACCTACCTTTACCTTCATGGTTCAGTCGCCTCCTCTTCCTTTCTTTGACTCTTGATTCGACTTGGTTCTCAATTTCAATATTGCGCATCACTCCTCACTTACCCTTGTTCACCCGTAAGAGCTTTCTAGTGTCGAGTGCGCGAAGCCCGTTGTGCGCTTCTTTCGCGCTCCTTCATCTTTTGTCCTTATCACGAACACGCGCCAAACCTCAACCGTCACCATGACCGAGCCCGAGAACTTCGAAGATGATCTCTTCGCCGACCTGTAAGTATCCATTGCAAAATAAGCAGCGAGCATAAGCACTCTATGCGTCTTCCTGGAATACTGACTCTGGACAGCTACGATGATAACGATGCCCCAAAGCCAGCAGCTGCTCCTGCAGCAGCAGCTCCCCCTGTCCCAGAAGTTCAGCCTCCTACTAACAATCACAACAACGACAACGACGATCATAACGGGATGCAACAACATCAAGATACAGGTGGTGATGAACACATGACTCAAGATCAAGACGACGACGATGATGATGTCGATTTCAATCTCGGTGGAGGAGGAGGATACGGCGGATCCGGTCACACAGGCCAGGTTGGTATGCATGACGACGCTCCAACACCCCCATACGGAACTGTTCACAAGGCGAGTGCCAAAGAAGATGGGTAAGTCTATACTGTTTCTGCGCTGTGATTACATCCCTTGAATTCACCCTTGAGAAAATATCATGGTTTGCCTTGCGTGTTTACGACCCTGAATCCTCATGGCAACTGCCACGTTGCCACGTAGTAGTGGCCATCGGTTTAGCTTTTGCATACATCTCGGAAGTTGGCTTGGCTAGAGAGGGTCGTGGTCAAATTAAGAAAAAGAGGTTTTGCTATCAGAGACATCAAACGGCAAAGATTCAGATTGGAGGAGTTACCATCAACTCATTCAAGAGGATATGTGGATCAAGAGATATAACCAGTTGAGGCGAGTCCGCTACTATTGTCTATGGGCCATGAGAGGAAGAGGAGGATGTCAAAGTCAGTACTGGGATACACCCTGTGGACATCCCAAGATGAATCATCCGGCACTAGTCCAGACGAAAGACACTACTACTTGAGTCTTCCATAGCCCTCAGTCGCAGAGATCTTATTGAACCGACGGAAGTGGTAAACACTCTCGAGTGCTATAGCGAGATTCGCAGCGAATAGCGCTCGAGGCCAGTACCTAGCATGAGACAGAGACAGAGAGAACAGTCAAGACGATAGCACAAGACGAAATTTTATTCGACCAAGCTGATCTGGCATCTCTCATTGCAATGTCTGCGCCGTACTTTCGACTGTTATGGCTGTTTGATCAACGTTTGTCAACCATGGTCCTTGTTATGTTGGCCTTTATGCATCCACACGCAGGAATCTTACAGGAATTACCGCCAACATCTACGGCAAGCCGAAGAAATGGGATTTTTCAGATCAATCGACTCTGCTGGGCTGTAGCCTCCTCTGCATGCACCCATATTGCCCTGCACGACCCATTTTTTTCAAGGATACAAACTCCTTGATCACATTGCAATCGCCAAACTGCAGCCATCTGATTTTCTGCTATATCAGGCATTCGGGTCTCGATTGTCTGCTCTTTTCTCTAAGCCAGAGTTGCAATTTCAGCAAGCTATTGATTATTCGCAAATTCCCGGCCCTTTCTAAGCAAGCCACTTCGCCTACAGCCTGGATCCTGTTGTTCTGTCAAGCCTAGCAGACCCGTCTTTTAACAGCCTTGATATTCAGAATGCCTAAACAACTCGAAAATGACAAGTACACTGACATGTTTGTATAGTAAAATGTTCATCGGCGGTCTCAACTGGGAAACCACCGATCGTAAGTAACAAACACATGCAACTCTCCAAACTTGTACTAACAATTGCTGGTAGAATCACTGCGGGATTACTTCTCACAGTTCGGTGAAGTCGTTGAATGCACAGTCATGAGAGACAGCAGCACCGGCCGGTCGCGAGGATTTGGTTTCCTGACGTTTAAGGACGCCAAGACAGTCAACATCGTCATGGTCAAGGAGCATTTCCTTGATGGGAAGATCGTAAGTCAATATCGTAATATGTGGTCAAATTCACCACTCTAATTGCCTTGCAGATCGACCCCAAACGCGCCATTCCCCGAGACGAACAAGAGAAGACCAGTAAGATCTTCGTCGGAGGTGTCAGCCAGGAAACCACCGATCAGGAATTCAAGGAATACTTTGCACAATTCGGCCGCGTTGTGGACGCGACTCTCATGATGGACAAAGATACCGGCCGGCCACGAGGATTTGGGTTCGTTACGTTTGAAAACGAAGCAGGCGTCGATGCTTGTATCAACGTGCCATTAGAAATCCACGGAAAACCTATCGAGGTCAAGAAGGCCCAGCCTCGAGGCAACCTTCGAGAAGAAGAAGAGGCTTCACGACGCGGCAAGTTCAGAAAGGACGGCGACCAGTCAAGTCAGGGCTCCATGGGCCAACAGATGGGCAACAACGGCATGACACCCCAAGTCATGGCCCAATATTTTCAACGCATGCAACAGTACTTCGCTATGATGCAGTCACAAATGGCCATGAGCCGAGGAATGCCCATGAACCCAGCCATGTGGCAGAACATGATGCAGATGCAACAAATGCAACAACAGATGATGGGTCGAGGAGGCGGTGGTGCCAATGCTCAGAACATGATGCAGAACATGAACCCACAGATGATGCAGCAGATGCAACAAATGCAGCAGCAGATGATGCAACAGCAGGGCCAGCAAGGTGGTCAAGATGCTGCTTCCGGTAGTGCTAGTCCCACTGCCTCTGCCAGCGGCGGCGGTGGTCGAGGATATGATAACAACAACTACAACCAATACCAACAAACTCAAGGGGGTCGTCGTGGAGGTCGTGGAGGCTACGGTGGTCATGGAGGTCATGGAGGTTATGGTATGGGTGGCGGAGGCGGAGCCCCTACTTCGTGGGAGGGCATGTATGACGATGTCCCTCAGCCAAATTCCAACCAAGGCTCAGGTGGCTTCAACCGTGCTGGCAGTGCCAGTGGGAACTCTGACCCCCAACATGCACCACCCGCCAACGCGCCAACGGGGCCCAAAAATGCTGGTAAACCTGGAGCTAATTATCGTGGTGGAGGACGAGGTGGAAACCGCGGCTTTCACCCTTACTCACGATAAAGACATCACACCAGATTTTACCCTTAGCACGGAAGGTTTGGAAGACTTTAGAACGCCGCCAAAGTTACGGCGAAGTGATGGGAAGGAAGATGGTGTCAACCATGTATAATAATGCGGAAGGGTTTTTCATTCCGCATGTATTTTGTTTTTGCTTTTTCAGTATTTTGGTTCGACTGGGCGGCTTTCCAATGCTTTTGTTCATCAAGATGCAGCCAGGTTCGGCTGACATAAGGGGCCCGAATAGGGGGGTTGGTCGGTCTTGCGAGGGCACTGCAATAATTAGAAATCAAATCAGCCCAAAATTGGTCTATTGAGTCATTGTGTGACTTGGGCGCATTCCTTTTCGCTATGTTTACCGGCATAGGCTCTGCTGATATACATATGGTGTTTGAGATCAGTCGTAAGACGGCCAAGCCAAATACGTTCAGAATATAGGTAGTGAAGTGATATATATGTGATAAGTAGTTGAAATGAAGCGCTATAACCTTATCCTTCTTCTTAAACTTCCAGCCCAACCACGCTGGCTTCAGTGCCACTACCGACGTCACACGTAATACATAGCTAAGTACAGTTTCTTTTTTTCTTCTTCTGTCAAGCATCATCACATCCGAGGACCCGGCGTATGCCCCCGGTAATTCCAAAATGTCCGCCAATGCTTCCTCACGAAACAGATTCCACAAAGTGCGTCTGTAATAACGGCAACACTCGAGTTCTGTTAAATCGTCTATTTACTGAGCTGACAGAAAGAAGCAGGTGTTGCATCGCATGTTGAAGGCAAATCAATCCCACCAGCGCCAAACGACCGGGTCTGTCCACTCTTGGGACTGAAGCAAATACCCAAAAGTTCGTGTATGTTAGCAAGGGGGGTACCTATGAGGGGCAGACAAGAGAAGTTGCTGTCTTGCGGAAACTACACAGCAGTACAATTGAGTGCAGTTTAACCCTTTCCAGTTCAGTGTCCCTGCTGAAAATAATGTCGTTATCGTCTACTCTTGGCCAAAACCCATAGTTTCTTCAACCGCGATGGTAAGCTTTTGCTGAAGCATTTCTAGACTCTTATAAGGTGGCAAGTCGAGCCGATTGAAACTGTTGATCGGTTAGTGATTTTATGTCAAAGTCAGATGTCACAATCGACTTACCATGTGTGCGCCTTTGGCAGATTTGTGATTTCTCCCGCCTTCTCGATTGTAAATCGTCGTGGGCCATCGCTGCCTTGGAGATCCTTGAAACCATTGACTGGGATTCGAGAAGTACCAGTAGTAAATTGCAGTAAACGAGATTTCTGCTCACCATCCCACGAGCGTACTGTTGCCCAGAAGTTCTGCACGACCTCGTCGGATTCGGTATATCCTCGATAATCGGTGTGCTTCTTCCAGTCGTCGACATCAATCTCGGCAATACCTCCAATCAGAAGCTCAAGCTCGCGCTCATCAAAAACATTAATAAGATCCTGAGGGATAAGCTCTTGGAACCCTTCCTTAAAAGCCTGGAACTGCTCGGCGATACGTTTCTCGATGCGCCACTTGACCATGAGATCAACATATTCCTTCTTGTTCTCATTGGTGACATCGATGTTGCGTCCATCAGGGATGAGATCCTCAGTAGTCATCACTCCGAATCTCTCGTCTTCGGTCGAGAAAGTCTGCTCCAGAATACCGCCCGAAATATCGTTATCCAGCATCCACTGCAATGATCGGTGGAAATCGGCATCCACACCCTCCATATCTGCCAAAGCCACCGCCTTGCCAAGCATCATCTTGTACAAAGCGCCAATAAAAAAGGCGTCCAAAAATCGCCTGTGGAAGATAGCCAAGCCGACAACACGGCCGATGAACTTGAAATAGTTGAGATGCTCCGGGTTAATACCGGAATGTGGGTTAATCTGAAGGGTGTAATTATCGTGGGCGGAGTATTCGAATAGGCAATAGAAGGGGTTAAACATTTCGTGGGAGAGAAGGAAAAAGAATTCTCGCGAGAGACCACCGTAATCCAAACCATCCTCGCCATCAAACTTGATCATAAGTCGTTTCTTCAAATCCGTTGCGGACTGGCGTGTGATCTCGGCAAAAGAGTCCTCGAAGATGTGAGATCGTCGCACTTTGATATGGCACTGTCCACTGAGGATTCGCATTGCTGGCTGTGAGCGGAAGTAGATGAGCTTCCGTCTGAAGTCTCGCTTGTACTGAGGAACATTCTGGTCAAGAGACGATGGGAGTCGAGGATCGTCCCAAGTGGTAGTCTTGGTGTTATGATCAACGAAGTACACTCGAGCAGTGTTTGTCAAGCGCATCTCCCACCCACTAGGCAGAGGGCCAAGTTGTGATACGGGTTGCTGCTGAATCTGGCCGTTGGCGTTATTCTGGCCCCCATACATACGGATGTATTGTTGGCGACGTGGGTCTACCCAGGTCGTTGTTCTTGTATTGTGATCAACAAAGTATGGTCGGCCTTCGGGAGTCCATCGTTGCTCCCAACCAGGCGGGAGTTCTCCCGTACCAGGGCTCGTCGCTCCGGTATGCATCACTGCGCCGCCATTAGTAGCTGGCGATGCTGATGGCTGTGGCTGCTGAGCGTGCAGCGTCGGTGAATTGGAGCCGGTTCGTTCTTCTGGCAAAGTACGGTTCTGATGTCTCTGACGCTCAACCTGGGTAGCTGCTTCTCGATCGTTTCGTTGTTCTTGAGCGCCAGAAGCAGTGGGTCGATTCCAGCTCGTTGTGCGGGTGTTGTGATCGACGTAGTAGGTACGGCCTAGATTGTCTTCGCGGCGCTCCCAGCCAGCGGGCAGTCGCCCTTGGGCATCTTCGAATGGGCTGAGCTGATTGCTTTGTCGAGTTTGTCCGGAAGCGTTCGGTCCTGGAGCGCTGGCGCCACCAACAGAGTTGATGCTGGATGGACGATGGGCCAGGTTGACTTGTGAGCCACCCGCGCCGTTTGGCCCAGACAGTGAAGATCCTGGCCGGTTATCCGGTGGAGGGGCGGAGAGATTCGAAGCGTTCGAAGGGCCGGTGCCGAGAGATGGTCGTGCGGTCGATGCCTGGCCACCGCGGGCTGGTGCACTGAGATTGCAGGACAGATTAATAATAAGTTTGCCGTGGACGACGAGGTTATCGGTTGATTTTTTGAGGTCTCGTGTAAGCATCTGGTCTAAAGCGCATGTACATGTCAGAAAGTCCCTTCACGTTTTCTGCTGTGGGATCGAGTAGACTGACCATCGGCATCTGGGCTGAGCTCAGGGATGACATCTCCAACGCGGATGTTTATGACACCTAGGAAACCCTGGTCCTTCTTCTTAAACTTCTTTTGGTCGAAAACTTGAACTGCAAGAATGCCATCTTCATTGGTGCGACTAATAGACTTGAGTTGGTTAAATTCTTTGTCTAAAGCGGCGGGGTACATTACAAGTCAAAGCTCTCGTTCCAGTATGGGTTTAGAGTTCTTTTGCTGACAGTCGTCGTTTTGGTTTGCTCCCCGTTAATGGTCGCGACAGCGAAAGGGTCAGGGAAGCCTGATTCAAGTTAGCGGATAGGTCGAGTGAAGTTTTGGATGCTAGTACGTACGGAAAACATCCCTCTTGTATAGGCCATCGGCGGCGATAACTTGGATGATGTCAATAAATCAATTCGAACGGTGGGGTAGATTGTATAGCTGTAACTCACTGGTAACCCGAAGGTTGGGCCTGCTATAAGGAGTATTAGCACAGTCACCGTAGTAGCAATGAAGAGGAAGAGTGGTAAAGGCTCAGGTTGAAGGTGAAGCTGGACGCGATGCGATGGGCGAAAGGCTGGGATAGGACTTACTTAGAATCGGTGCGACTGGTCATGGTGTCACCTCTTGCGCTGCGCAGCGAGGGACTAAGTCACAGCGACAACAATGATAATAATCGATATTCCTAAGGTGAAAGGAGAAATAGGTTCGGAGCCAGACAAATGAATGAAGCCTTGTCGTGGAAGGCGCTCGCGGAACGTGATCAGTGGAGGTTGAAGGGTTCACTGAAGAAAGTTGACGACGCTTGGTTTGGGGCTATGGGGGGAGGTTGAGGCTGTGCACGGGCAGCCCAAAAGACCCAAGACTGAGAGGCTAAGGCCAAGACACGGACTCCCCGCTTCCAGAGCGAGAGCGACAGCGGCCGGAACGGGAAGATCCAGGGTAGGGAGCTGTGCTCAGGCCAGACTACGTATACTACCTATTGTGAGAAGCAAAGCAAGACGAACCACGTTGTTGTAATTGAGCTGATATGAATATTCATGAAATCGACGACAAAATGGTGAGAAGTTTGTGCCACAATGACAGGTTGGTTGATGGAGTTGATCGCCACGATTTTGTGTGGGTTCAGTCTCAATGCTCTCTATCTCGTGGTTGGCGTTGATGATGCTGGAAGGATAATCAATCGACCCGACCTGGCCTGAGGAACCTTGGAGCCTTGTAATTTGAGTACGGTTTCATGGACTGGGGATATCTGTTAAGGTAGTGGTGTAGTCGGTGGGGGAGGGGAACCTGATAGTAGGTACCTGCCACCTGTTTGTATATAGCCGTTACGTGCACGTCTTTCACAACACGGTGATGGTGCTCCTCTAAGACCATGCAAGTATATCAACTACAAACATACTCAAATCTAGCAATTTATTAGACACCTCACCAAGCAACAAAAGGCAGCTCAATAAGTGCCTATATTAACGCCCAGATCAAAGGATCCCGTCCAGATGGGACCGACCCCGTCAGCCAGGGAGCCAGAAAGCTTCGATCCTTGAGAACGGGTGCCAAAATGAACGTATCAAAAGGCGTCCCAAGCTTTTAGCAAACTTGCATAAGTCTTTTTGTCGCTTAGGATCGAGGTCCTATATTTTCTTACATCCTAGCCCGTACTTTTTGATACACCCTGTATTCTGCATCCGGGCCTTTTAGTGGGCTGCAATGGAGGCCTACAGATGACTAGACGACCCGATATTACCTTATATTAGTGGTTGGTTGGTAACCAAGAGGTTCTTTTGCCTCCGCTCTTTTGAAAGTTTTCTATGAAACCCGCGATCAAAGATGAACGTTCCAGAATCAACCTGTATACTTTGATCCAAAGTATCTGTCTGATATTGCCTAATTCTAGAGCTCTCGCACGTTCTAGCTACTTGTTAGGCTGAGCAATGACTTCAAGGATGTTCAAATCCCAGTATTTTGTTGCCACTTTTGCTGAGAAATTGTCAAATAATGCTTATAATATCTACCTAGGTTACGGAATCGACGGCTGCGCTTTACGACGTATTTAGTACAACCTCGGCAGTAAATAAAGCGACAGTGCCGCTATGGAATCATAATCTCAGCCACCTGTAATGGTTTATGAACAGGTGTTTTGAGCCTAATTGCGGCGTACGGCTTACCGGCACAGCTTTCATCAAGCGCCTAGTCAACATCGAGCGCTTAAGCAGGGTCCTGTGATGCCTTGCAGCTAGGTTGCTGAAGTTGATGCTTGGGCTTCAAAGACTGGCCATCATCGAATCATGGATATCAAGAGTCTGCATTTATCAGGATACACGATGAAACCTGGCCCATACACACATGTGCCACAGGAACCAATGTGTGCCCTTGTGGGTCTCCCTGTTCTATGCTCACAATTTCGGCTCAGACTACGGCCGCAAGTCCGTACATGACTTGATTGTTTACAGTATTTGCATCTCTGTGACTGTGCAACTGCTGAGCCACAAAAGAAACGTCAATGACACCTTGTTGATTGCGTTGACAGCACACATCAAGAACGGTGCCGTAATCTGGGGTAGTCAAGAATGACGACTCATGTCCTAGCCATGCGATGATAAACAATTAATTATAGCATATTGCGCGAGGAGTGTCACATTTGCATGATACGTAGAGTTGTATGGGTGTACAATGTCTAGGGTTACTCAACGCCAGCTCAGCTACGCACGAATAGCATGCTCAAGAAGAAGCTCAGGGAAATTGAATTAGCCACACAATCAAACCGAAAACGCCAGCTGCAGCACTACATAATAAGACTCCGTAATCAGGAACATTTTTACGTAGAGAGCCTAGAGAGCGCATCAAAGCTATAGGGTAAACTGTATACAATCTCACGGATTGTCCAACGAATTACATAGTAGCTTAGCTTGCCGATCTTCACGTCAGTGAAGGATGTCAGATCTTCCTTTATCATGCACCCTGACACTAGATTTGTCTCATGGCAATCACAGTCATTCCAGCCAATACTCAAGCCTTGGCACGAACTGATGTGGGGGGCACCAGAACGGGCGGCCTCACACGCATCCATGAAGCTTCGAGAGGAACGCGTGGCAACATGTCACTATTGTAAGCCTCCTACATATTCGAAGCTGCTTAAAATAAGTTTCCGCACACTACCCACTTACACTTAAGATAGTTGTCACCGTAGCTGATATGGTTGCGTTTTCGCTTAGATATCAGATCAAGTTCGCACAAAGTTAATGGTAGGAACAAATACACAAATACAGCCGGATGATGTCAATTCCATAGTGTGATTTTGCTAAGACGAAATATAAGTCAAGACCGAAACTCCTATCCCTTTCCTCGGCGTTCTTGGCTGTTTGTGTGTTTTCCTGCTCCCGGATGATTGATAGTATTACCCCGTTCCTTCTCTGCTAGTAAAGCACCCATCTCCTTATAACCGTAACCCTAGATTCAAGGAAAGAAATGGATAATAGAAACTGTTCCATTACAGGCCGACATACCCATGCAAGTAGGGGTTGCTTTCAAGCCCGTGAGATTCCTCAACTTCGATCTCGAAAGGCCTAGGTTGCTCAGATCGTCGACCATGACCCATGGGCAAAGCGCCTCCCTGCTCCTAGTAGGGGGCGAAGCCTCGTCCGCGACCACGGTAGCCACCGCGATAACCACCACCGCGAGGGAAGCTGCCTCGACCATGGAAGCCTCGGCCACCGCGGAACCCACCGCGACCGCGTCCACGGCTCATGCCAGGGACATTGGTGCGCTTGGGAGTCACCTTGATGTTGCGGCCCTTGAAGACGCTCTCGTTGAGGACAAGAGCCTGCGCGACCAAGCTGGGCTCGGTGAACTCGACATAGGCGTAGCTATAGAACGATATGTTAGCAATGCTCAACAGCCCCCGCGTGCCAACATACCCCTTCGGTTGACCTGTGAACTTATCAAGAAGAATGGTCACTCGGTTGATGGAGCCGCAGCTCTGGAAGTGACTTTGGATATCTTCAGGCGAGGCTGAATAATCGACGTTGCCAACAAAGATGCTGCGCGCATCGATGGATTCCTTGTCATCCGCAAGGTCCGCAGATTGCTGCTCCAGAGTTGCTTGCATCTCGCGAAGCTTCTTGGCCTCCTCTTCCATCTCTGCCACGCGGCGCTTCATGGCAGTGATTTCTTCCTAAGGGTGTGGCGTCAGTTTCCTTCTTAAATCCACCTCTTTGCGCGCCTAACACACCTCCTCAGCCCCTGACATCTCAGTTCCTTGCTCATGTTCAGTATCGTGCTCGCGGTCATGATCGATCTCGTGCTCGCCCGTAGGCTTCTCGTCTTGTTTGCCAGAGTCCGCCATGTTGACTAGGTCGAGAAAAATCTAGTAGTGTCTTTCGCGTATGATACTTCTGCGTGAATCAGTGTTAGTAAAAGACTGGATTGTGTTGAGAGGAGAAAGCGAATCATGCGCACGAGTTTAACACAGCCTTGACATCATTGTGTGAAGGGGTAAAATAGTGTAACGTTGAATGCTAGAGGAAAAAGGAAATGCGTACCGCTGTGGAACAAACCTTTCGCGATGCGAGTGGGAGAAAAGAAGTGACAAAGCAAGTATATGAAAAGAAAAGCGCGAAGGAGTTTAAAAGTTCGCGAACAATAAAAATGCACGATTAATGAGGTCAAGGCCGGGGTACATAGCTACCAATTGTACCTTTCATCTAGCGCCTGTCCCGAGTCCTGGGCTGCATCAAAGTTCCCTGCAAGGCAGTCCAAAGCTCGTGATGTCCCGCCCGTAGCCAGGCTTCGGACCCAAAGATAATCCGACAAGTTGGAGCAGTGAGCACAACAATAAATAGAATTCTATAGACTACCTATATTCTACGATTATGAAACAACGTGGCTGGTTTTCTATCACCAACAGCGCTCGACCTGGAAAGTTATAGAGCCTTGCCATGTACCGTAGCATGACAGAATAACCAGAGCCACATGCAACCACTTAAGAAGCATCGTTGGTTCAGAAGGAATAGCTAGAGATTCATCATCGTCAAATTTATCGTGTTATGGAAAAGGTGACAATCGCTAGACACAAAATGAAAACCAGACACCCCCAAATGCAATCGTTACGTCCTCCAAACGCCGCCCATGCTCTTCGCTAGTCAATGCGTCCGTCTGTAAACATGCCTCGTTCCATCCCATCCATCTAGTACCCAGTGCTCCGAGACAAATATGCTTTATGTTGTTGTGTAAAGATAAGGAAACGTGATGATCTCGCTAGAAAATCAAGCATGTCGACCACGCTTCCCTCCTTTTTCGAAAGGATCCTTTCCGCTAAGACTGCCGAGATCGAATATTTCCTCAAAGTTCAACTTGCGCTTGCTCCCAGCCCGCTGTACCAAGTGTCCCGGACCCCTCGGACAAGATCGACTCGGACCACCCGCAAGCCTGGTTTTCGTTGGTCGTGTAGGAGCAGGCACGTCATCGTGAGGTCTTGAGTCAGACAGGTCCAGGGTAGCGATATTCGGGTACGGGTGTGAGGACTGAAAGGTAAAGTTGTCTTGAGATGGAACGACTATCGGCGTAGGCTGTTCGGCAATAGGAGGAATACTCGGTGGTGCAGAGTCGGTTCGCATTTGGTTCGCCGGATGCGGAGGGATACTCGTTCGAGTGAGTTCAGGTGACGAGGCTGTTTCTGCTTTTTCGACCTCGTCCTCACTCTCAGTGTTCAGAGAGCTGCTTTCACGCCCATCGAGTCTTTCTGTTGCCCATTTTCGGATCTTCCACCCTTCTCCATCGCCCAGACCCATGCCTTCTTTATCCAAGAATTGTAGAAGGTCATCGAGGCAATCCTGATATCCATCGGCACGTGCCTTTGACTGTCCTGCAGCCGAGATCTTGTAGAGCTTGGTTACCGACAGGGCAGCTGCCTTGAAGACATCGAGGAGTTGTTCGGGGCTTTCTTGTTGAGCAGGTTGCTTGCCCATGCTACCAGAGACGCCCCTCATAGGCTCCATCGTGATTAAGCGACGAAGGGGGTTGTGGAAAGCTGGAAATGAAGAGTCAGATATGTTTTAAAACGTCCAGGGGGAAATCGCCTCACTTGGTAAGAGGAGAGTAGTTTTGGTATCAGAAGAGGCTCCTAGATAGGAGAGAAAATGCTTTGTATTCGTGGTACACCAGAGTCAAACAAGATGGGTATGTTGCTCCTGAAGAGCTATGAGTTCAAAGACAGTTGGGCGAGGCAAAGGTTGGGGTCACGAAGCGTTTGCCCAGGTCATCCACTCCAACGGAGCATGGGCAGAGCCTGATGGACGGCACTAACCGAGGGGTCGGTACCTGTAGATGTGGGGGGATTTCAGCCACGTGACTTGATGGATGCTCAGACAACCTTCAGAATTGGATCTTGCAGCAAACTCACCAGAATCTCTTCAAATTATGCATTTGAATGAGTCTATAGGATAAGGCCACCTTTTGAAGATAAAATCTTGGTGTTTTGAATATATAGTGACTTCCTAACGCAAGACCAGTAAGACACAGTGACGTCGTTAAATATTATCGGAATATCTCTTCTTCCCTTGCAGCATCGTGGGGCCCACTGCCATTTACAAGGGTCTATGCACGCCGCTAGCCCAGATTGGCCCCCTTCGAGGTGACCGTTTAGATTCTACCCGCCAACACCTTCGCAACAGCATTTACACTTTCTCTTCCAAACCTTCAAGCGACGTGGCTGTGATAAATACACCACATTCCCCTCAAAATCCATAAACCACGCTACAAAAGTCAACTGACTACTTGCATTGACTTCCGTTTCACACTGCAACCTCTCAAAACGCGTCTTCTGGACGCCAGTCGCGTAAAGAGGTTTATCCTAAACTCGACTCGCAATGGCGCCTCGATCTCGAGCCAAAGCTGTCGATACTGACGCGTCTATGTCTGACGCGCAGGAGCATCGACAGGAAGAAGAGATGGTGAGTTGCCTTCTTCATCAAATTTTCATTCGTTTGTGGGTAAGAGCTTATGCTGATGGGTTGTTCAGGAAGTTGACGAGACCCCCGACTACACTGATACCGAGAACCCTAGCACCACTGCCAGCAGCGTCGCCGGAGAGCCTACTGGGGATGGCCGTAGGCGCCGCACAGAAGTCAACCAACTTCGTCGCAGCATTTTTGGAAAGAAGCACGATCGACTGGGCGAATCCAAGGTTTGTCGCACTCTAAGACAAGGCTGTGATCCGAAACGTTCTAATCAAGCCTGCAGGAAGATGACACCATTCGTCGATTTCGATACCTCCTCGGCCTGACCGATCTATTCCGCCATTTCATCGAGACAAACCCCGACCCCAAGATTCGCGATATCATGACCGAAATCGATCGACAGAATGCTGAATCTGCGCGGGGCAAGAAGGGTGCCGGAAGACAAGGGGGCGCTATGAGCGAGCGACGTCGACGTACCGAAGCTGAAGAAGACGCCGAACTTTTGAAAGACGAGAAGCACGGCGGATCCGCTGAGACAGTCTTCCGAGAATCCCCTCCGTTCGTCCACGGCACCATGCGAGACTACCAGGTTGCCGGTCTCAATTGGCTAATTTCCTTGCACGAGAATGGTATTTCTGGTATCCTTGCCGACGAAATGGGTCTCGGAAAGACGCTGCAAACCATTTCTTTTCTTGGCTACCTGCGACATATCCTCGATATTACTGGACCACACTTGGTTATTGTACCCAAGTCTACACTCGATAACTGGAAGCGAGAGTTTGCCAAATGGACGCCTGAGGTCGATGTTTTGGTGCTTCAGGGTGCCAAAGATGAGCGACAGAACCTTATCAACGATCGGCTTGTTGACGAGAAGTTTGATGTTTGCATTACCAGTTACGAGATGGTGCTTCGAGAGAAAGCGCATTTGAAGAAGTTTGCTTGGGAATACATTATTATTGATGAAGTACGTAATTTTGGAACGATTGAGAGTCTCATTAGCTAACGAATATCCAGGCACATCGTATCAAGAACGAGGAGTCATCACTGTCACAAGTTATCCGATTGTTCTCCTCCAGAAACCGATTACTTATCACCGGCACACCTTTACAAAACAACCTGCACGAACTCTGGGCTCTCCTGAATTTCTTGCTTCCCGATGTTTTTGGCGATTCTGAAGCATTTGATCAGTGGTTCTCTGGTCAAGACCGTGATCAAGATACGGTCGTACAACAACTACACAAAGTTCTTCGCCCCTTCTTACTGCGTCGCGTGAAGAGCGACGTGGAGAAGAGTCTGTTACCTAAGAAAGAAGTAAATGTTTATCTTGGCATGTCGGAGATGCAAATTAAATGGTATCAGAAGATTCTGGAGAAAGATATTGATGCTGTTAACGGTGCAGGGGGCAAACGAGAGTCAAAGACGCGACTGCTCAACATCGTAATGCAGCTTCGAAAATGTTGTAACCACCCTTATCTGTTCGAAGGTGCTGAGCCAGGACCTCCCTACACAACCGACGAGCATTTGGTTTACAACGCTGGCAAGATGGCTGTCCTCGACAAACTCCTCAAGCGGCTTCAGAAGCAGGGAAGTCGTGTTCTAATATTCTCTCAAATGAGTCGATTATTGGATATTCTCGAAGACTATTGTGTTTTCCGAGAGTACAAGTATTGCCGAATTGATGGTGGCACAGCACATGAAGATCGAATTGCTGCTATCGACGAGTACAACAAACCTGGTTCGGAGAAGTTTGTCTTCCTCCTTACAACACGTGCCGGTGGTCTGGGTATTAACTTGACAACTGCCGACATTGTCATTCTCTATGACAGTGATTGGAACCCTCAAGCTGATCTTCAAGCCATGGATCGAGCCCATCGTATTGGCCAGACTAAGCAGGTTGTTGTATACAGATTTGTTACGGATAACGCCATCGAAGAAAAAGTTTTGGAGAGAGCCGCCCAGAAGCTACGACTGGATCAACTGGTTATCCAACAAGGCCGTGCCCAACAAGCTGCCAAAGCTGCAGCCAACAAGGACGAGCTTCTTTCCATGATCCAGCACGGTGCCGAGAAGGTCTTCCAGTCCAAGGGACCTACCGGTAACATGGCCTCCAAGGACGGCGAAGTTGGTGATGACGATATCGATGAGATCCTTGCAAAAGGTGAAAACCGAACAAAGGAGCTGAACGCAAAATATGAGAAGCTGGGAATCGACGATCTGCAAAAGTTTACCTCAGAGTCTGCCTACGAATGGAATGGCGAGAATTTCGCCAATGCGAAGAAGAACATCAATATGACCTGGATCAACCCGGCCAAGCGAGAGCGAAAGGAACAGTCATACTCGATGGATAAGTACTTCCGACAAACCATGTACCCCAACCCTAAGGCCGATGCTAAGCCAAAGGCACCCCGAGCACCAAAGCAAGTTCCTGTTCATGACTACCAATTTTATCCTTCACGCCTGCGAGATCTCCAAGATAGGGAGACTGCTTACTACCGAAAGGAAATTGGGTATAAGGTCCCTCTACCTGACGGTGATGAAGAAACCCTTGAAGAACGAGAGGCTGAGAGAGCCCTCGACCAGCAGGAGATTGATAATGCCACACCTTTGACTGAGGAGGAGAGAGAGGAGAAGGAGAAGTTGTCGCTACAAGGTTTCGGAGACTGGAACAAACGAGACTTTCAGCAATTTGTCAACGGATCAGGCAAATACGGGCGAACCGACTACGAAGGGATCTCTAACGAGATCGACAGCAAGTCAGCCCCAGAAATTAAGGCTTATGCAAAGGTCTTTTGGCAACGATATACCGAGATCGCCGACTACCCCAAATACATCAAGACTATCGAAGATGGCGAGGAGCGGACTCGCCGTATTGGTCACCACCAAAAGCTTTTGAGAAAGAAGATGCAACAGTATCGAGTCCCTCTGCAGCAGCTCAAGATCAACTATTCTGTCTCGACTACCAACAAGAAGGTATATACTGAAGAAGAGGACCGATTCCTTCTGGTTCTGCTTGATCGATATGGCATTGATTCGGAAGGTCTCTATGAAAAGATGCGAGACGACATCAGAGAGTCGCCTCTGTTCCGATTTGACTGGTTCTTTCTCAGCCGAACACCAATTGAGCTATCTCGTCGATGCACTACTTTGATCACTACTATTGTCAAAGAGTTTGAAGACGTTCCTGCTCGTGGCTCAAACGGAGTGAATGGAAAATCCAAGCGAGAGCCTGACGATGAGAATGACGAAGATAGCATTCTTGGAATGGCACCAGCAAAGAAGAAGGCCAAAAACGGCGTCAAGGTGAGTCAATGATTGGTCTTCTCTTTTGTCTATTACTAACATGTTTTACAGAACAAGGCACTTGATAATGTCAAGTCCGTCAAGTCTAGCAAGAATAGCTCCGCCACTCCATCAAGAGCATCTAGTGTTGCCTCTACCGTATCCGCAGGAGGTTCTGCCAAGGGCAAGAAGGGTAAAAAGAAGTGAGGGAATATGGAAGTGCCTTTAGTATGCTGGGTGGGCAAAGGGATAGACTTTTTGGCGTTCGGTTGCTTTGAGGACTTATAAGAGAAGCCAACGTGTACGTATTTGCTTAATCTAGCATGGCCGTTTGTACCAGGGGCCAGAAGATGCATCACACGATGCCTCGGCGGGTGGGAGGATACAGGCGTGAGAATGGCTGATAGTACAATGAAAAGAGTTACTTGAGCAGAAGAACCATCTGGTTGATTGTCTGCTTGATATCTTCAACTTGACGTGCTGTGAAGTAGCGAACCCTGATGTTCGTGATTGCATGATCAACAAGGATGATGGATGTATCCAAAGTCGTAGTAACGTGATCAATCGTGCATTTCGACCTTTCCCTAAACCCTGGAGAGATGGTAAGAATTACAAGCCCATTTGTCAACCTCTTATCTCCCCTTACACTTCCAATTCTTTTTCCATCACGTCCAGCTCCCGTTTATTTTTTGCCCCATTTGAACAAAAACATTTATTTGTTTGTCCCCCAAACGCCGTACTATGCAAGCACACAGGAAAAGAACGCATCTACTGCATTCGGTTGATTCGTTCCCTCTCAACCTCGTAGTTGAAGTCGAAGTAGCCCTTGTCGAAGTGGTGAACTCGCACGTATCCGTCCTCTCCGCCGCTGGCGTAGCTCTTGCCTGTGGGATCGGCAGCGACAGTGTTAAGAGGACCGAAGTGACCTCGCACACGACCAATCTCGTCCTCAAAGATCTTGTGGTAGAAACGAGCCTCGAACTTACCCTGACGGGCAGAAGTTCGGGTAACATCCATAGCGGCCTGACCACCACCGAGGATGACGAATTCCTTTTTGGGGGTGATAGTGGCACTGTTAAGGGGTGTGTCGGCTGTATAGGTCTTGAGGACCTCGAGATCGCGGGCAGAGATGAGCTTCACAAATTAGTATTTGTCTATATGAACAGTCTGATCAGACATACCTTGGCAGTCTTGTCCTTGCATGCGGTGATAAAGTAGGTACGGTCGGGAGACCACTGAAGATCGACAATGGGCTGATTGAGTTCATGGACGGGAACGTTGTCGAGAAGATCACCGGTCTTGGCGTCGTATCGGCTTACGCTACCATCCTCGTGACCGGCGATGATGTACTTGCTAAGAGCACTCCAGCCAGCAACGGTGGCCTTGCTCTCGTCGCAGACAATAGTGAGAGCCTTCTCGTCGGTCTGCTCAGCGTTGAGATCGGGGTTGATGTCGATGACGACGATGTTGGAGAGGTAACCCATTCGCTTCTCGGTAACTCCCAGCAACTTGGTGGCATCTTCGTTGAACTCGACTCGCTTGACGGCGGTGGGGAACTCCCAGGTCTTGATGAGGCGGCCAGTCTTGACTTCCCAGAGACGGATGGTGTTGTCGGCAGAACCGGATGCGATCATGGTTGAGGTGGGGTTAACATCGACTGTCCAGATGGCACCTACGTGGCCGTGGTAGGTTCCAAGTCGCTCGCCGTTGTGGGAGAACCAGGCGCAGATTTGCTGATCCTTTGCGACGGAGAAGATGAGATCGCCATCTTTGTTGAATCTACAGATGGAGGTTAGTCGAGGCTGCAGGTGAAGTTATTCCCAAGCTTTGTATCAAGCAAGATATTCCCCCCTCGTCTTTGTGACTATACCACAGATGTATAGAGACAGAATAAGACTCAGACGTACCTAATTTGGGTGAGCGCACGCTCGTGCCCGGCAAGAAGAATGGGCCTCATGTTGTCGATGTCTGAGGGGCACTAGGAGGGGTTGATGGCGGAGGCAGATTCGGAGCGGATGGTTATATGGCGAGGGCTTTCGCGATGGAATTTTTGGCGGTTGTGCGTTTTGGTGGGGCAAAAATCGAAATCACATCCCCCGCCTTAAGCTGAGCTATGAGGGGCACAGGGCTGATGCCTGATTTGTAGGGGGAGAGGTGTTAAAGTTGAGTTTAACCACGTTTGGCACATTGTGATGCCTATTATTTCGAGTTATCATGGATTGAGATGAGTCTGAGAAGAGTCATTGAAGGATTCAAGAGTCATATTTTGAGTTGTTCTTTATAGAAACATTGAAGTCGATTCATATTATGACCCTCCTCTGGTCTCAGCTCACTTCTCAGCGAATCATCCTGAGGCATCAACAACTCGGGTAAAATTCTAGAATTCTGGCCTTGTCAATCTTGTAAGACCACTCCAAACTGAAGGCATCACAACACAACGACCTATCGGATCTCATTGGTCTTGTGTTCGGTTCGTCAAGAGTCACCTTGATGACCCTTCTTCGAGGCATGTACTTCTCACATCACATCCTGCGTTAATGCAAAGTCAGTCACACGACCGACCAACTATATGGACTGATTGCAAGTATTCGAATATGGACGAGTTGCAAAGAGAGGTTCACTTGGCTAAAGATTCTTCAAAAGATCAAGTCTATCGACTTGAAAGACTGCGTTACTGTACAATATTGTGTTATTACCGTCACCATCAACCAACAACCGTGTTGCTGGTTTGATGATTTCGCTTCCTCTCTTTTCTTTTCTTTAACTTTGGCTTAGAACATTTCCTCGTGGAAAGGCTTGCATTACATTGCATAGATCTACATGTATATGCTCTCGCCATTGATCCGTCGGACATCAGGAGATTGTTCGGCATTGGGTCTAATACCATACACATCTACATACAACTAGGAATATCATATTCTAGTTGATCATGTACGGCGCGGTCCTCCGTTGCGCCGGGTGGCTTGATTCGAATAGTTCCCGAGTGATCCCGAGACAGCAACGGCATTTGCGGTTTCTATCTTCAACGTTATCGATACCGATACCGATATCACGATATGCAACGAGAATAAGCCTTGGACATCAACGGCTGAGCTGCCGATTGTATACGCACCAAGCCGAACCCGCAATAGAATTAGGCGGGTCCCAGCAAAGTCAGATTCTCACCTACCCACAGGTGTGTTTACGCACAAAGTCGCACAGGCAAACTTCCCTTCACACGTGTTCGGTCGTTTCTTCCGTGTCGACCGTGCCTTTCGTGAACGCCGCTATTCGGACTGCCCCCCCTCACAACCCGACAGCCCACTTCATATACAGAGACTGCCTCTCAGTCAACAAACAACGAAATAACTTTGCTTCAACCTCTGTTGGCGAGTCTAAGTCTTTTTCTTTTATTAAGCCATTCTTACACCAGAAAAGACTCTTTTCCTCGACTACAATGGTTGCTGCAAAGCTCGATGGCAATGCTATTGCCAAGTCGATCCGGGAGAAGCTCCGCGCCGAGGTTACTGAGAAACAGAAGCTCAACCCTAGGTTTAAGCCATGCCTCAAGATCATCCAAGGTATTACCAAGACACTCGTAATACTCTACTTGTTCAACGCTGACTCAATTGTCTCACAGTGGGTGATCGTTCAGACTCTTGTTCGTCATAATCCTGCCCCGCCATCATGAGATCATCTCACCACTAACCCGCGATACAGCTACCTATGTTCGTATGAAGCTCAAGGCTGCTGCAGAGGTGAGTCATAATAAAGCTATAGTTGGGCACGTTCACTGACTCATCACCAAGGCTGGTATCGACAGCCAATTGCTGCATTACCCTGAGTCTATCACAGAGGCGGAGCTTCTCGACCATATCCGTCAATTCAACCATGATCCTGCTGTTCACGGTATCCTAGTTCAGCTGCCCCTCCCTAAGCACATCTCTGAATATACTGTCACATCTTTTGTGGCAGACGAGAAGGATGTTGACGGCTTTGGCACCAAGAACATCGGAGAGCTGGCCAAGAGGGGCGGCAAACCTCTTTTCGTGCCCTGCACACCCAAGGGTGTCATGATCCTTCTAAAGGAGTCGGGGATTGACCTGAAGGGAAAGAACGCTGTTGTTCTTGGAAGAAGTGACATTGTCGGTAGCCCTGTGAGCTACCTATTGCGAAACGCTGACGCTACTGTCACCGTTCTGCACTCCAAGACGCAAAACATCGAAGCATACGTCAAGAATGCAGATGTCGTTGTCGCTGCTATTGGCCAGCCTCTGTTCGTCCAGGGCAGCTGGATCAAGCCTGGTGCCGTTGTCATTGACGTCGGAACCAACTTTTTGCCCGATGCCACCAAGAAGTCTGGTCAACGACTTGTTGGTGATGTCGACTACGCCGCCGCAGTCGAAGTTGCATCCGCCATCACCCCCGTTCCCGGCGGAGTTGGACCCATGACTGTTGCTATGTTGATGCAAAATGTTGTCGATGCTACAACGTGGTATTTCGAGTCTCAGAAGCTCCGAAAGACCATCCCCCTACCCCTGAAACTGGAGGAGCCCGTTCCTTCAGATATCGCTGTGTCACGAGCGCAACCCCCCAAGGAAATCACACGCATCGCTGCTGAGGTCGGCATTGCTCCCCATGAGCTGGAGCCTTATGGCGCTTACAAAGCCAAGGTTGACCTTGGCCTCCTGCAGCGACTGGAGCACCGTCGAAACGGTCGCTATGTCGTTGTCACCGGCATTACCCCCACACCTCTGGGTGAAGGCAAGTCTACCACAACTATGGGCTTGGCCCAAGCTCTCGGGGCTCACGTTGGACGTTTGACTTTTGCCAACGTTCGACAACCCAGTCAAGGACCTACCTTTGGTATCAAGGGAGGTGCTGCTGGAGGAGGCTACAGTCAGGTCATCCCTATGGATGAGTTCAACATGCACCTTACTGGTGATATTCATGCCATCACCGCTGCCAACAACTTGTTGGCCGCTGCTATTGAGACTCGCATCTTCCACGAGAATACTCAGAAGGACGGTCCTCTGTATAAGCGACTAGTCCCCACAAAGAACGGCGAGAGAAAATTCGCCCCCGTCATGTTCCGCCGATTAAAGAAGCTCGGAATTGACAAGACCAACCCCGATGAATTGACTGAAGACGAGATTCACCGATTTGCCCGACTGGACATCGATCCCGAGACCATCACTTGGAGACGAGTTCTGGATGTCAATGATCGTCACCTTCGAGGAGTTACAGTTGGAACCGCCCCTACTGAAAAGGGCCAGACCCGAGAGACTGGTTTCGATATCACTGTTGCTAGCGAGTGTATGGCTATCCTGGCACTTAGCAACAGTCTGGCCGAGATGCGTGAGCGTCTGGGTTCAATGGTGGTGGCTACATCACGAAACGGTGACACTGTCACTGCCGATGATATCGGTGCGGGCGGTGCTCTTACTGCTCTCATGAAGGATGCTATCAAGCCTAATCTTATGCAGACACTCGAGGGTACTCCTGTATTTGTCCATGCTGGTCCTTTTGCTAATATCAGCATCGGTCAGAGCTCTATTCTTGCCGACAAGCTCGCCCTGAAGCTTGCTGGTACTGAGCCTGACGAGGACCACGATGAGAAGGCCGGTTTCGTCGTTACCGAAGCTGGTTTCGACTTTACCATGGGTGGTGAACGATTCTTCAACATCAAGTGCCGTACTTCTGGCCTTGCTCCCGATGTTGTTGTCGTTGTTGCTACTGTCCGAGCCCTCAAGGTTCACGGCGGTGCACCTCCCATCGCCCCCGGCGCTGCGCTCAGCCCCGTTTACAAGGAGGAGAATGTTGACATTCTGCGCGCTGGCTGCGTGAACCTGAAGAAGCAGATTGCTAACGCCAGGTCTTTTGGTATTCCTGTCGTCGTAGCGATCAACAAGTTCTCCACCGACACAGAGGCCGAGATCGCAGTCATTCGCGAGGAGGCCATCTCCGCAGGTGCTGAGGATGCTATCCTTGCTAACCACTGGGCTGAGGGTGGTAAGGGTGCCGTTGACCTGGCTCATGGTGTTATTGCGGCTTCAAAGAAGCCCAAGGACCTGAAGCTGACCTACGATCTGGAGGGTACTGTTCAGGAGCGTCTTGAGGCTATCGGCAAGAAGATGTACGGTGCCGAGAAGGTTGAGTTCAGCGAACTCGCCCAAAAGAAGGTCGACACATACACCCGCCAAGGATATGGTCATTTGCCTATTTGCGTGGCCAAGACACAATACTCTCTATCTCACGATCCCGACCTGAAGGGTGCTCCTACTGGCTTCACAATCCCCATTCGTGATGTCAGGATGGCTGCCGGAGCAGGATACCTGTAAGCTTATTGTCTTATTCGAACGTAACGTAACGTAACTAACAAATTACCAGGTACGCCCTTGCTGCTGATATCCAGACAATTCCCGGTCTGCCAACAGCACCTGGCTATCTCAATGTTGATGTCAATGTTGAAACAGGCGAGATCGAAGGTCTCTTCTAAACTAAAAGAATTCCGATGCGTAATGGATGTAGTCGGAAGCGAGGTACACGGTACTGTACTCCCTCAACTCAACGTGGGAACGGATTGGAAGGCGAAGCATTAGGGCGTGACATTTCAACATATGGTGCGGGACTGGTTTAGCGGATATCATCATGTGCCTATTGGCAATTAAATCAAGTTTTGATTTGGACTATTTATGAAGTGTCTTGTGTTACCATCGTGTCTCTGAAAGTCTGGATCTGAGTTGATTCAACCAGAACAGGACAAGCATGTTTATGACCGTCAAATATGACTGTCAATGCGAATGCCGTAGCTGAAGAACGATTCTGCCTTGGCTGGAAATGCAGTCTCATCATGCATACTACGTGGTAGGCGTCGACGGAATTTGCCATTGTGCATGTTGCATACAGCCACAAAATTGTCTGGTAGGGCCCATCTAATGTTAGGTAGAACCGGAACCGGGTGGTTGGCCAGTAACT